GCCGGCTTCTGGACGGGAATCACTTCTTAAATCATACAAATGTCTAATCACTATGCTGTATACCTGAAATTAATATAAAATAATATTGAATGTTAACTGTAATTGAAAAATTAAAACCAGGATGGGGTAGGGGAGCAAAAATAACAGGTTCAAATTTCCAGGTATAAAACAAACAAGTCATGGGGATGTAACATACAGCATAGGGAACATAGTCAATAATACTGTGATAGCGTGGTATGGTGTCAGATGGTTGTTGGAATTTGGTGATCACTTCTTTAGGTGTATAAATGTTGAACAACTATGGTGTACATCTGAAACTGATATAATGTATGTTAGCTATATTTTTTAATAAAAATCATTTTTTAAAATTTAAGCAAGCAAATGCTTGTATTGCTTTTATTACTTTGAAATGGAAACAGATATGGTTTTTAGACATGAATAGTCTCATCTTCACTAATAAGAAAAAAACCCACAGTGATATCCCCTTTTTTAGTCTATCAAATTTGCAAATACTAAAAAGAATGATCATTTGTACTAGCAAGGGTGAGTGTAAACAGGTTGTAGAAATAACGAAACAGTTCAAAGTGTCCTAATAAGGAATAATCTCTACATACTTGAAGTGGAAAAGCAGTGTGCAGAAAAGTCTAACAATTTGTGTTTTTTTAAAAAAAAAAGGTGGGTCGGTAGAGGGCAGTTTATACCTAACAGCTTTTGCCTAAGAAGTCCCATTAGCACTTAGGCCAATTTTACCCCTTTATATCAACATCAATTTTTCCCTTTTTTATCCTAACTTTGCTGCCCCAGTTTCTCTTCAGACCTCCCAGGGGGAGCTGGCTACCTCATTTCATCTCTAATTACTGTGTGCTTCATTTGTTGCTGACTTTTACTATAATATCTTTAGCATTTACCAAGTTTCCTTGGAGTGATTCCAGCACCCTTCAGCCTCAGATAGACTCTGATCCATTTGGTCAGTTTCCAGCTGTATTCTTGGCTCATTTCACCCATATGCTAGTGACAATGCAAACAAATGTCCTCTTTATCTCTATTTCTCTACAAGGCTTCCTGGTGACCTTTGCACACTGCCCTGGATGAACTGACTCTCTTGCTACTCCTGACACATTTCTTTCCTCCAATGCAAACATTTTCCCTTCTGCGTAAAACTCCTGGTGGGGTGGGGAGTGGCGGTTAAGGGAGGTGCGCATGTATGCGCGCACAGACCTGGCAACTGGTTCTGGTGGCCTCTGAGAAGGCCGGCAGAGAGGGACCGTTGGACATGAGTGGTGGGGAGGGAGACTTAATTTTTACTCTGTGTACCATTTTGTTTCTTTTGAATTTTATACCTTTAATAGTCTTGGTAATAAGATAAAATAAATGATAAATTGACTACATAAAATGCCATAAATGGAATGTAATATATAATTCTATGATGTATTTTATTAAATGATAGTATATGAATAGGTATTACACTGATTATATTGGTTAAGAAGTAGATAAGGTGATTATACAGATTTATAGTTATTAGGAGAAATGTTACCTCATGCTTTTCGGCTATACCACAAAAGGCCTCCCCTTTGAAATGTAGCTATAACAATAGCTAGACATATCCAGAGTAATTTTGGTAATATTTTACTCTTTTCAGTTTCATGTATGTTAACAATTAGAACCAACAACGTGATATACAATCAGCTTGTGTAAACTATGTTACCAAATATTAGACGTTTTTCTTTTTTGGTGGTTGGGGATGGAGGAAAGAGGTGCATAGACCATGTAAACCTTCAGATAGTAGTGGCTGTTGCCCAAAATACATTATGGCAAAGAACTTAGGTAGCAAAATTTCACACCTTGCCCAACCCAGCTTATGTTTTTCATAATCCTTTAGGGCTGCATTGTCCGGTAAAGTAACCACATGTGGAAAAGAGATGGGGGGAGAGGGGGTGGGGGAAATGTTAACTGTCCATTTACTTTACATGTTAGATGTCATATAACTTTTCTTACTGAATCTTTAAAACAGCCCTGTCAGGTAGCTGGTGATTATCTTCATTTTACAGACACTGTCTCTACTATGAGAAACGGCAGAACATGAAAAATCAAGTAAGAATACTAGGGCTCCAAATGGTTAGGCGACCTAAGTTCCACAGCTAGTACTTGAATCCAGATCTAGTGCAGTTTTCCATTGTACTGCAGGTAATGATGTTCAGCATATCCCCCAGTTTTTGCACTTGACCTGGAGTTGATTACCACCATTTTCCATCATAGATTGTTTGGTGCCTTCATCCAACACACCGTGTGGCACTAAACCAGTCTGATGCAAATAAAAAAGATTTTAGCCAGCCGCGTCCATCATGGGCAGGGGCTTTGGGTATTGAATGCAAACCAAGTAAGATAGACTTGTACTGCAGCTCAGAAGTTTACCCGTGTCTTTCCATTTTTCTAGGAAGAGTTGCAGGCCAACCTGGACCTGATTCAAACCTACAGACTGCATATTGCCCAAGATATCAACCAAGAAAACCTACAGCTCTTCCTGGGTTCCTATAACGGGTACAGTTGTTTCCTCTGCTTTCACTTAAATGCAGACCAGGTCTAAAAAGATAATGGACCTGAAAGGGAAGTTAACTACTTCCACTGCTGCGTGATGGGATTCCTTTCGTGCTGTTTCACCACAGTAGAAGAAGAAGGGCTTTCAAAAAGAATGAATGAACTAAAGGCTGTTTTTAGGCAAGTTCAAATACCAGTTGTAGTTTTTAGGTGGTAAAACGTACCTGAAATTATGCACATACACACAAAAATACAATTTCAGGTGGCACAGGGAAAAATGCATGTAGGGGAGGCAAAGGATAGACGTTTTGGGCCTTGATTCAGCTTCTCTTTGTTGACATCTTGTCACCAGATAGAAGTAACACATGGACACTAGTAAATTCTCTTTTTTGGGTGTATTCCAAAACCTGTCACACCTCCCCCAGTCACTGAGAGAGCCTAATTCTTATCTTGGAACCAGTTTCTCCAAGGTAAAAATGTTAGCTCTTTCTTGCTTTCTGAGTATATGGAAAAATATTGAGGAAATGAGTCAGCTGTTAACTTAACCCAGAGTCACACACCCAGTAAAGAGCAAAGCCAGCTTTTGAACCCAGTATGTCTAGCTCATTCCTTTATATAACAGAGCCTCATGACTTTTAGTTGAAATCAGAACGGTTTATTAAGTACTACATTAAACTATGTTAGTTACAAGGAAAATTTCCCCCAAAAAAGTTCCCCTTGTCTTAAGGAATGTATTCTTATAAACTAGTTGGAAAATTAAATACTTAGGACTTGAGGATTTCAGTAGTGTTGCTTTTGCATTTTAAAAGTCCCTCCCTTTAGCATCCCCCAGAACCCCTCGGGGCAGAGCTAGGAGCCTTGCTCCTGCTCAGTGCCACTGAAATGGCCACTTGTGAACAAAGTGTACCAGGGCCCCTTTCCTCCTCAGGTGGGAAGGAAAGACAGGTTTTACATTCCCTGAAACATTTCGGTGTTCATGACCAGGAAGTAACCTGAGTTGCCATGATTTTACCTGAACAGTGCATTGCTTCCTTTATTTCTCTAGACGCAGAGACCTGGAGATTGAAAGACCCGTGCTGGGCCAAAATGATAACAAATCAAAGACATTAAAGTAAGTCCCTCTGTTTCCCCTCCAAGTTGCTTGCCTTTCATAGATAAATTCAGTGTGTAGGGGAGCGTGTGTGCTGCTTGCTGAGTGTCATCTCTTATTTTGCCTTTCTGCAGGTGTTCTACTTTATTGGTGGTTGGGGACAATTCACCAGCGGTTGAGGCTGTGGTAAGTGTGTCTTGATGTGAAGATGAATGAGATTAAAATGCAATAAAATGTAGACAGCACACTGCTGACACACCAGAAACAGGTGCTAAATACTAGTTTTTGTTATTTCTGGTTACACATGCTAGAGCTTGCTCTTTGTTATTCAGTTTGGAAAATGAATTCCTCATTGATCACTCGCTTTCATCTGAAGGGATCAGTATTGCTTTGTGCGGTGCAGTCTACTTTGTGGCAAGTAGTACAACTAAACGCCATTTGCTTATTGTCAGATTTCTGGCAGCCTTGGCCTTCTGCAGCCTCCATAAATCTGGAACTGTATCAGCAGGCTGGAAAGCATACAGAGAAACTGTATGCTTTTCTCTATCTCCTTCTCACGCACATAGCACATTGATAAAAATAATATGTGTTCATCGTAAAGATATGAAAAAATTGGAAAAATAGAAGGATAGGAGGAAAAATCATGACCCAGTTACCCAAAGACAAACTTCTCTTTTTTTTAAAACATAGATTGGACTGTATTAAATGTACAAGGTTAGGGAACCTGATTACTTAACACTATTGATAGCATTTTCCCATGTTATAAAGTCAATATGTCTATATAATGTTCAGTCTTATAAGTGTACTTTTGTTTATTTAACCTCATTCTCTTAATTATTTCTGATTTTGCCCCATTAATAATGTTGCTATTGAACATCCTTATAAAACTTTTGCCTGAATCTTTGATCATTTCCCTGGGAAGGATTTCCAGAAGTGGAATTAATGTGTCAAAAATCATAAATTTTGTAATGCTCTTGATATATTTGGACAGATTCCTTTCTAGAAAGGACATACCAGTGTGTTGCCTCAGCAATGTATCAGAGTGCCTGTTTCACAGCATCCTGTCCAGCCTGGGATTTTTAAGTTCTATTAGTAGTTAATTTGATAGGTTAAAATTGGTGTCCCACTTCTGTAATTTGCATTTTGATTACAAATGAAGTTGATTTTTTTTTTCATATGCCTCTTAGCATTTCCTTGTCTTTCCCACAGCATATATAACTTAAGTTATCTGTGTGAAATTATCTGGTTTTCTTTGGCAGCCTTCACTTCCGCCCTATTTATAGCAAAACTTTAGGGAGTAAGGCTTTTTGGAAAGGGAGTCTAATATCTAATCAGCGGCATAGACAAACGATAGATATGCCATGGAACCCAGCAGGTGGCGTCTGGCCAAGGGTCCAGTTCACTTTTTAAAGAAGTAGGTAACTTGCCCCCATGTTATATAGCCCATAGGAGGAATTAGATTTAACATGTAGTTTTTTTTTCCTTGTTTTTTTTTTTTTAAATATTTTATTGGGGGATTGGGAGAGGGGAACAGTGTTGGGGAATCGGGGAAGGGGAACAGACAAATTGCTGTTCTTTGGCTCTTCAGTCTAGTTGTGGAGGACGTCGCTTCACTGGCCCATGTTGGTATTATTATTGCGCTCTTCCCGGGTGAGGCAGATGGGTTGCCGGCCTCTGGACAGCCGCTCACAGCGGCTCTTGGCAGCTCACACCAGCTCTTGGCAGCTCACACCGACTGCTGGCCTCTCATGCTGGCTGATGGCCACACACGGTAGCTTATGGCAGCCCACTGCAGCAGGGGCTGCAGCCTACGCCGTCGCCGGCGACTCACAGCAGCCCAGCTCCAGGTTGAGTAGTTGTTCACCATCTTAGCTGTAGAGGGCAGTGTCACTGGCCTTCATGTGGGATCCGAACCGGGGCCCTGCTGCACAGAGCTGGCATCCCAAGCCACCTCTTAACCAACGCACCACTCGGCCGGCCCGCAACATGTTCTTTAAAGACACTACTTGTAACAGATTCAGAAAATGAAATTAGGCAGATTTAGATCTCAGAAATATCAGATATAAAATGCATCATATAAATATATTTCCCACTTTGTATTTTGGTAAATTCTTTGGCTGCTTCAGCCACCCCCAAACTGAGCTGTTGATCCTCAAAGATCATTCTCATGCCAAGCTATTTCTTATTTTTCTAGGAGTTCATAAAATTGTTGTGTGTTTTTTTTTTTTAAGGTTGAATGCAATTCTCGTTTGAATCCTATAAATACAACTTTGCTAAAGGTAATGTGTCTTCTTTTCCTCATTGCCAGCCATTTGTGAGTAGATTATTCATGCTTCATGTTAGTCTATTTGTGGAATAGTTGCCCAGAAGAAAGGAAAGTGCACTCTCTCTTCTTCTCTTTCTCTCTCTCTTTCTCTCTCTCACTCTTTTCCTAAAAAAAAATTGTTTCCTGAATATATTCTCATTGTAGGGAATTGGAAAATAGAGAAAAGTAGAAAGAATAAAATAAATAAAAATTACCCATAATCCTACCACACAGTGGTAACCTCTGGTAAAAAATATCGATGTATATTTTCTGTACATTTTTAGATCATTAAGATCATAGGATATTTATAACCCTGTATCTGTTTTCCTTAACTTTTTGACGTGAGCATCCTCCCATGTCATGATAAACTTCATAAGCATTATTTACTTGTGTGAGAATTAAGATAATGGATGGAAATTCTGTACATGCTAAACCCTGTTGTATGGGTAATGAAGCTTCTAATATGCTAATGGTAAGGGTGGGTGCATTTTCTTTCTCTTAGGACAAATAGAGAACAGCTCTTATACTAAACTCATAGGGTTACTATAAGGTTTCTCCCCCTTTTGATCGTACCTCGGGCAATAGCATCAGCCTCGCGTTTTCTAGAACTTCGAATAAACTTTTCGGGGACCTGATCTGGTTTGAATTTGGATTACTGTAAATGCACATGCTGGTCTTCTGTTGTGTTCTGCTGCATTCTCAGCCAGCAAGATCTCTGCTTTCTTCCCTTTCTCTTTGAAGTGTGCTCGAAAGGGAAGTGCTGTCACCAGAGGCAGCCCATAGTTCCTGGAAATAGAGCGTGAAGTTAATGCTCTGAGGTGACAAAACTCAGGCGTATTCTTGGGTCCAGGTGATTGATGAACCAGTCTAAAATAAGAACTTGTAAAAAAAAAACTATGTGGTTTCAAATTAGTTTGTCACTGCAGGTTTAAATCGGTATCCCAAACAGACAAAACTGAACTCTATACAGTAGCCATAGACGTGGTTATTTCTGAGCAGATATGCCCATCCAAAACCCAATGAGTGAACTTACTCTCCAACTGTTTGACAGATGTCAAGCTTGGAAATAGTCTCTCCCAATATTCTTCCTCTGCATATGGCAACTGTCTTATAGTCTTAATCAGATTTGTCTCTTAAGCTTCATGAAAATAATAATCTGTACTAGTTAGGTCTGCTTTATACTTAAATCAGGTAAAACGTTTGTCCCTGCTCTTGCTTAGAATTTTCAGGGGACTGTTCCTTATTAACTGCAAATTCCTGTGCCTTCTGTGGCATTCCCATCTGCTAAATAATAGTTTCCCCCCTCAAAGAAAGCTTTCATGCTGGAAACCATGGGGTTCGTCTCTTTCTAAAATAATGCCGATCAGCCTGAATAGGATACTATCTGAGTACTGAATGCATAACAGCTTGAAGGAAGAGGGTGGGTGGGCTTGTAGTCGGCCATTATGCCCTAGAAACAGTGTTCTCTGCAGACTCACAGAACATGCATCACCTGGAAGTTTGCTGGAAATGCAACTTCCCGAGCCCCACCCCAGAATCTCTAGAGTAGGAACTCAAGAATCTGAGTTTTAACAAGTCCTGCAGATAATTCTGATTCATGCTAACATAACCCTATCCTAGAAATTCTTGCACAGGTGAGAATAACCAGCTGTAAAGATTTGTTAATTGAGACAGCCTCACCAAATCTACCTATGAGAGGAAAGTGGCTGACTAAGCGAGGTGGCCGAATTCAGCATCTGCACCTGACTTGACAAATCCCCTTAGTCATGGAATGATGAGAATATAGTTGAGAGGGAACTTAGAAAGTGTGGGGCCCTGAGAAGATAAGGACTCTAAAAGTAACGCACTTCAGTTGGAGTCAGACCATTGCTGAAGGTCTTTAATTTCACTACCCTGACAGGAAATACCCACCATGGGCCTAAAAGCCAGGCTCTGCATGTTACTGACTCATAAGTATTGAATGCATCTTTTCAGACTTATATCCAAGGTTATTGCTAGGATCTATTCTTCATATAAGAGTGTACTGAGGTAATGAAAAAATTTTTTTTATTAAAAAAAAGTGCATTGAAGAGATACAACACTTGGATGCAGTTAAAAATTCAATCCTGTCCTGTTTGAAAGGACTCGTGGCTATTCAGAGCATTTCCCTAAAGTGTAAGTTCCAGTTGACTTACATATTTTTCCTCTTCTAGATGGCAGACTGTGGTGGACTGCCCCAAGTAGTTCAGGTAAGTAAGGAGATTTTTTTGTAAAGCACCCATTTGACTGTTCCTCATTGCCTGTGCAAAGATTAACGCTTTTTTATTTTGTGCCCCCAGCCCGGGAAGCTCACCGAGGCCTTCAAGTACTTTTTGCAGGGAATGGGCTACAGTGAGTATAGTACACAACTTTCTATCTAGCAGAGATTTATTGGTGTTGGGGTCATTTTGACATCTTGTGGGAGCCCACAGTTCTCAGGGCACTTCTATGCTAGCCAACCTGAAGTCAAGTAGAGACCAAAATGTTTATGGAGTATTCATCTGTGCATATATGTAAGATGAGCTGACACTTATTAAGCACTTAGAGGTTACATGCCAGGCACTCTGTATTTATAACCTAAAGAGGTTAAGCTCGGTGTGAGTCCTATTTTATAGAAGAGGAGACAGGCTCAAAGAGGCCAAGCACATTCCGAGGGTAGCAATTCAGCCGCAGAACCATGATTCAAACCCTGGCAGTCTGACTAAGGAGCCCATGTTTTCAACCACTGAAGTTTAGGCTATCCTAGCTATGAATCTGAAACTGTGATTGGCATTTGAAGTCAGCTGGTTAATGACTCCTGGCCTCAAAAAACACAATGGCGACTCCAGAAGAAGGGGCAGTGTCCTCAGTTAACTCTGTTCCACCACAGGAGATGAACTTGCAGAGTGTTTCAGAGGGAATCCAAGGGTGTGTCCATATCATGTGCCGCTGTCCTGGTCTCTTGTATTGTGAGACCCTAAGCTTTCTCATTTGTCACCAAATATCCACACTTGCTCCTTTCTTGGAGTTTTAAGAAGAAAAACCTTCCCACCAGATACAGAGCTCTTTACCCAGTAGGGTGGTGGCTCTCCTGTCTTTGGTATGAGTATGGTTAATGGCCATTGGGCAGCAGCTGGGCCCCTGGGTACAGCCCTGTACCTGGCAGGCAGACCGTGTATGTGTTGTCTAGAGTGGCTGTGTGATCCCCGTCTGTAATCCACTACCAACCGAGCCTGCGCCATGTTCCTCTAGCTCCCTGGGAGGAGAAGTCCCTCTCCTAGCCGATTCTCCAAACAGTTGATCTTCCAGCCCATTTCTGATCTAAAGTGGGATGGCTGTTTATAGTGGAGGGGAAAACAATTACCTTTGACTAGTTGAGAGAAATAATATCTGAGATTCTATTGAAGCATCAGTCAGCCTCATTCCTCTCTGGGATCTTAAAAGAAAACTTTATCCCTGGCTTAGAATATCCTGTCAGCACTGTCTGCTAGGCAGCTGAGGTTGCCACTTGGCACTCTCGGGTCACTAACCTGCCTTTTCCTGTGTCCACCTGCTTCCAGTCCCGTATGTGCAGCTCAGTCACCTGAGCACGGAGCCAGGTACCTTCCTCTGTGCTGGCCTCGTCCCCGCCACCCAGCCACGCTCTCCTGGCTGCATTGGCTGCCTTCAGCATGTCCGCGGTTTTCCTATGCAGTGAGAGCCCGATAGAACGTGGCTCGTTAGGCCCCGAGAGGGTTAGCCTGCAGGTCCAGCCCGGGGCCCCCAGGAAGGAAGGATGGGGTTGTAATAGCCAGGCTTCCTCTCATCATCCCAAATTGAGTTGCAGAAGCAGCTAAAACTTTATAGGCAGGGCCACTCTTCCACCATTACCTGTTGATCCTTGCATTAACCCCCAGACACAGGAATCGAAGGGCAGCCTTGATTCTAACTAGCATCCGAGTCTGTGCCCAGAAAATTCTGCAGGTGATGGCATGTTTTGACCCCAGCATTGAAATGACAGCTGGGGGATGGCCGGTGCCTCAAGAAGATAGGCAGGAAGGTTATGCCAGGTATGGCCCTGTCCTGGCCAAACTGGAAAGACCTTAGGACCAAAGCAGTGGCAGGCCGGCCAAGTGACACATTGGTTAAGAGCTGGCTTGGGATGCCAAAGGGCCCCGGTTCGGATCCCACATATGAGGGCCAGTGACGCTGCCCTCTACAGCTAAGATGTTGAACAACAGCTCAACCTGGAGCTGGGCTGCCGTGAGTCCCCGGGGACGGCAGGTGGGTTGCCATAGGCTACCATATGTAGCCAGCAGCCGCTGTGAGCGGCCGTCCAGAAGCCGGCAGCTGGTCTGCCTCGCCCGGGAAGAGCGCAATGATGGTGCCAACTTGGGCCAGTGAAGCAACGTCCTCCACAACTAGACTGAAGAACAAAAGGATAGCAACTTGTCTGTTCCCCTTCTCCCAATTCCCCAATAAAAATGTAAAAACAAAACAAAACGCAGTGGCAGAACAGGAGTCTGAGTTAAACACCCCTCTCCAGGCCCACCAGCCCTCCCTGTACCCACACCTTCCTACAGGTCTCCTCCCCAGGTAGCAAGGGTAGCCTGTGGACACGGATGGTAGTCTTGTTGTATCGGGCTTGCACTGTGTTTGTGAAACACCTTCATACTTGTGTAGTTTGTCTTTCTTTTGGTTTAGTCTTGCATGCACTACAGGTTTTGGTTACCCATTTGGGTTCCCAAAGCCTCGTTGCCAATGATTCATTATGAATGGCGTGGGCATAGCTAAGAGGCTATACTCTGGACTTAGGTTTCCCGTCGTTCTGCTGTGGACTAGAATCAGCTGAGATTACAACCAGAGCCAAAGGATTAAAGCAGCCTTGCATATAGCCACTTGCCTAGAGCAAATTATGCAACCTGAAGATGGCTACGTCTTGTCCTGGGTGTCACCTTAAATAGACTGGGAATGCTAAACATAAAGCCTTTTGTGAAACTGCTGGATGAACTGAGTTTAACCAAGGCTCCATCTTCTAGTCCTCTTGGTTCTTTCTTACAGTACCATCTGCCAGCATGACCCGGCTCGCCCGATCCCGAACCCACTCAACCTCAAGTAGTATCGGCTCTGGAGAAAGTGCCTTCAGCCGATCTGTCACCAGCAATCAGTCAGATGGAACTCAAGAATCCTCTGAGTCCCCTGATGTTCTGGACAGACACCAGACCATGGAAGTGTCCTGCTAAGCAGATGCTCCTCCCCTCAACCATGCAAGTTCATCCCCCTTCAGATGACCACTCCATAATATACCATTTCATCCAGCAAACGGGCATCTCTGTCTTAAACTCCTGCATGGCCACTGACTCTTCCTGGCATCTTGGGTTTATCATTCATTCTCTGCCTGCCCGCCACCCTTTTTGTATGTATCAAGAACCACTTCCATCCATGCCATTACTGTACCATTCCAACATCTTTAGCTGGTCAGATCTCCATATTTTCTCATGCCAGCTTTTCCCCTTGCTTTCCTAACTACGTATCTGATAAGATTCTTTGATTCTGACGTATGTATGTGAGCACGCGTGTCTGTGTTTGTGTGTGCATAGTTCTGTGATTTTAGACATGCTTTCTTGTAGAGCTTCTGCAAAAAAAAAAGGGGGGGACTTTTTTTGGTTCGTTTTCAAGGGTGTTTTTAGGGGAAATATGCAGAACAGATTTCTAGGTTGGGTAGGCCACTGCATTCGTTCTCTTTTGGATCCAAATTGGTCAACAGGATTTGCAAAGTGACTGCTGGAGAGAGCTGCCCTGTGGAATGGGAAGACTGTAATTACCGTTTGGACTGTTGATTGATTGTGACTAATAGAAGGGAACCTGTTACACCGAGAAGCAGGCAAGGTGGCCAGCCACCTCCTTCTGTCCAAATGAATTCACATATACTATTCTCTAAATAAAAGGGAGGGATGTGAACTGTTAGAAGCCCATGGATGATGAGTTTTGATGCAACATGGAGCTGTTCCCAAAGGACTGAGTGTGGCTTAATTACTGGACTCTCGTGGCACAAGAAGGTCGGAAACAAAATGCCAGGCATTCGCTCTGCTGGAGCAAAACACTGTCACTGCAGTGTCTTTCCAGACATCCGCAAGAAGTGCCTCCCGGTCTGTGATGGAGAGCGTTTCTCCATTCCTCCATCCTCAAAAAAAAAAAAGGAGGGGGAGCTCTATGACCTAAAAATTATGTAGGTGGTGAAGAGAGGGGCAACGGGGAGAGGGACAGACATTAACAAAATATCACATTTAATAAGTATAACCTTGATTTCAGCAGACAATGGAAGCTCAGTGAAATTGAGAGAACTTATTTCTCAGAAAGATCCTTAATCCTGTGAACTGTCTTTTTGTAGGAGGGAAGGGGCCAATATATTCAGGGCAGCCTGTCCAGGTAAAAGTTCAGTCTACTGCTATGTGAATATCAAGGGACAGAGGGTGAAACCATCTGCCACACAGCCAGGACCCAGCTCTTGAGGGCATCGAGATGCAAGCACAGGCGACACAGTTCCAAGTCTTGGGAAGGGGCTTTTCAGAGTAGTGTTCGCATTCTGCCGAGATAGAGAATGCATCACTCTGTCCGAGTACGACTTTTTACAGATTATTAAATAAAGCTGTATATGTCTCATTGTTACCCGATTGCTGGTGTTATTTCTGTCAAGCCACTCACTGGGGCTCAGGGAGGGGCCGAGTTACTGTAGATGAGCTCCGTGCTGGACATTTTCACATACTTGATTATTATCCCACCCAACAAAGAAATGATGACTCGGGATAAATAATTTCCCCAAGGTCATATCAGAAGCCCAGCTGGGACTGAACCCCAAATCCATCTGACATGCCTCTGTTCCCCTCAAACCAAAAATCATGAGAAGCCTGACCTTGCATTTTGTGATGAAGGAAGAGAAGCTGAGGTCTTTGAAAGGTGTTCCGCATCTCAGCTCTGCCATCTGTGTGGGGTTGCTGAGTCCCAACCCTCAGTAATAATCTGCAACCACTGTTGGTTCCTCAAACAGACTGGGCTGTTTCTCTCCAGAAATGGCTGTCTTTGTCCCCACCAAGAATCATTTCAGAAGGCCACCATCTCAGGTCAGTTTTAAATGATCCAGGAGCGGCTGCTGCAGTAGTACATTGAGGTTGCTGTGTCCGTGGGAGAAACTTGTAAAGTGACACGAGGAGATGAAACAAATGTATGTGGACAGGTACGCGTTACCAAGCCTGACATTGCGGGCCAACACCGAGTTCCGGAGCCGGAGGTGGTCTGATGGTCACAGCTGCTCTTAAACCCACCTTACTACAGCCTTTTTGGCCACACTCGGCGTGGATGGTCACCTGCTTCTCCACCTTAGCCTGTGCCTGGAGTCAGGCCCCAGCTGACTGCACCTGACTGGCCCTTAACCACACTCATTCTTCTTCTCTTTTTCATTTCCTTTCTTTCTGTTTAGTCCAGAAAAATCTTGGGTGCCTGCCTTGTGAGAGGCAAGGAAGTGGCCAGGTAGACTGCACACGATAATTGTGTAAAGCTCTTCCATGTAAATCGTCTTACCCAGTTCTCAAAGCAACTCTGCCAAGTAGGCAGTTTTACAGACAAGGAACAGCTGAGGAAAGTGAAGTTAAGGGGGCCAAGGTCATGTAGTTAGGAAAAGTTCCCAGTTCTTCCAAAATCAATGCATTTGCATATTTTATTCAGACTCAATAAGAACCTCTCACAGGCCCTTAACACCTTCCTGTATCTTCTTTTAACCCAGTGAGATGCACGCTAGTCCCATTTTATGGAAATGGTCACAAAACTAGTAAGCGGCAGATCTAAGTTTTTAAACTCTAAGTTTAGATGACTCCATGAGTGGAAAGAGTATAATGTGGGATTTTTATTTTGAGACCAGAGATTTCCCTTCTTCCTACCTCATTCATGGACCTCACCTTGAGACAGGTCTGAAAATGTACCTTTAATATAAGATGGTGGACATCAGAGCGTTATGCAGGTGGGAGCAGGAGGGGGAGTCTGTGCTCATTTTCCCCCTCCCTGCCACGAGCCACATCCTTGAGTGGCTGTCACCCATTCAAACACCCTGGTGAGAATTTTTTTTACAAAGGATGCACCCCCCTCTCTGGTTCTTTCAGCTCTCCAATGCCAAGTGCCCGCGGAGTTAAATATAATCAAACCAACCTGCCCTGGAGAGAGAAAGAACGTGAGCTGGAGTGTGCCCTCACTGGCCAGGTCCCCAGAAAGGCTTTGTAGTTCAAGCTGGAGTTGAGCTACTTAAGTGCACTCGGTCATCTTGTGTTAAAAAAAGCATCTGTCTTCAGGAATGCTAAGCCCCCCCAATGGAAAGGCGAGTGAGTGGGTGTGGTTATTTAGATTTTCATGAACTAAGGATTTTATTAAGTTTCAGTGACTGAAGGTAACACACCACAATCAAAGGCAATTCTATCTGAGATTCTTTATCCTGGCTGAAGGATTCCCAAGCGAGGGGTATGCATCACAGTCACTTGGAGGGGTGGTGAAAACATTGTTGGCCCTACCCATGGAGTTTCTGATTCAGTAGGTCTGAGATGGGCCCCGAGAATTTGCATGTCTAACAAATTCCTGAATGGTGCTGAGGCTATTGGCCTGGGGACCACATTTGGAAAACCACTGACCACAGGTGCGGTCCTCAGACCAGCAATATGGGTGTTAACCTGGGAGTAGTTAGCAATGTAGGATCCTAAACCCCCACCCCAGACCCACCAAACCCAAATCTGCTGTTTAACAAGACCCCTGAGTGATTCCTATGCACAAAGGTTGGGACACATCACACCAAGGCAGTGCTTCCCAGACTTGCCAGTCACAGGAGTCTCTTGGCGTGTTTAAAATTCAGATTCCTAGGCTGCTCTGGTGACTTGGACTCAGATGTGGGCGGATCCCAGGAATCTGATACTAAAAAGCCTGTCGGGTGATGATGATCAGGTAAGCTGCTCGTTTATCCTGCTTCTGTGTTCCTTGGGCAAGACCAAGCTGGCAAGCCAGAGAAAAACCTCCCTCCAGGATCACGACAAGGCAGCCGCTTCTCCCCCAGAAACAGGAACTTGGGGAAGGTGGCTTCTCAATGGTCTGTGATGCCGTCAGAGGAAATGGGTGGTTGTGAGAACCGCAGCGCCTGCAGATGTAAGCCAGGAGCCTCCAGGACCCTGCAACAGCTCCGAGAGCTCTGGGCCCTCTTCCCTGGCCAGGTTGCTCTTGGGAACCTGGGTCTCTCAGTCAGGGGTCTCTCAGGAGCACGGGGCTCCTGTCCCATCCCAGGTGTACAAACTGCTCACCACGGGCAGATGCAGAGCTGCCCAAAGCGATGCCGAGGCGCTCTCCCTGAAGATTCTCGCAGGCCGACAGGGTCCTGGAGGTCCTAGGACTAAGGATGTTGGCAGACTTCTGGAAGGGCCCCCCAAAGTGCTAATCTTCTCCAGCCAAAACATGCGTCTTAGCCCCCATCCCAAGCCTCTGATGACAGGAAATCAGTAAGTATGTTTGTTTTTGTTTTCCAATGGCCTTGGGACTGTGAGGAAGGATGGTCAGACCAGGAGTGGGCTTCATGGATGGGGAGAACAGCGTAAGGAGGAGTGAGTCTGAGGCTGTAAGTGAGAGAGTTGGTTTCTGAGCGTCCCTGAAAGAGCCGAGGCCTCCCCTCCACCTTCGTCCTCTGGAGAATTACGTTCCCCCCAGCTTGTCTGCGTGCTCAGTCTGGTCTCATCTCGGTTACCAACTTGCTGTGTGACTTTGGGGCCCTCTCTGGGCCCCAGCCTTCCAACGTCCGTGAATGAGAGGAGCCTGGGTTATAATCTGAAGACACTTTCAGCTCTAGTCGTGAGTTCCCCTCAAAAGGGTGATATTTCTCCATTGAAAAAGAGGGGCGTCTCCCTTTAGCTCAATCCAAATTCATCACTCTTGCTCCACTGCTGAGAAATTATCTTCCGAAGCACAAAATACACAAAGTCGTAGATTGTAGACTCAGCTCTGCACTAACGAACCAGCTACATGACAGTGAGCACGAGGTCGCGCTCGCTGGGCCCTGGTCCTTGTATCTGAATGGGATTCGAACCCTGCTGACCTCAAAGGATCAAGTGAGATGGTCAAAAACTAGTCGTGGGCAGTATGCCGGTCCCAGCCGCTCTTTGCCCACCTGCCCCAGGTGCCCTAGAAAGTGCCTAACACGTGTCCAAATACTTAAATAAGTAATGACTAGGTTTTGTCTCTTCAAAGTTTTGGCCGATACCACCTCTTCCTAGGCCTGCCCACCCCATGGTCTTCATTTCGCCCCCCAGGAGGCTTCCTGGCCAGGCCGGGAGAAAGAAGCTAGCAGAGAGTGCCGGGGGCGGAGGGGGGGTGTGGGGTGGGGGCTTCCAGCCCGAGTGCAGTTCTGCCTCCTTCGGGCCCATCCCCCAGCTCCACCTGCAGCGGGAAGAAGTTTCTGGGTTGAGAGCAGTTGGTGACTGTGGTGACAGCTCTGCTGAAGGAAGGGAAAGGAAACTTACTGAGCACCCACTCTGTGCCAGGCTGCTCGACCCCTCCCTCCCCGACCCCTCCAGCCCTGCGGACTCAGTATTATTCCTAGCTCACAGATGAGACCCAGAAAAGTTACATCCTTTCCTTGAGGTCTCACAGCTCCAGCCTGGTTGGTCTGAATTAGTCACTCGTGCTACCTGGGAAAGACCTCCCCTGGGATTTTCTGGATGTCTACAGCCTGTACCTTATACCCATGGGGAGAAGAACGGCTTTACTGGGAGGAGAGAGGGAGGAAGGGAGAGAGAGAGAGAGAGTACTGGAGAGAGAGAGAGAGAGAAAGAGAGAGAGTGCGCGCGCGTGAGCCTAGGAGCAGCCTCTGGTGAAGTGACATTCAGGGCATGATAAAAACAGCAGGCCCAGGCCATGCTTTTCACATGCATTATCTCTGACACCCATATGTTAAGTATTGTTATCCCCATTTTTCAGATGAGGAAATGGAGGCAGAGGGGGGAAGTGGCTCGAGAGCCAATCCTCCAAAGCCTTGCAAGTCATCACTGTGTCATACATCTTTTCCCTGTGACACCAATAACCGCTCAGTGTCACCCTAGCTGCTTGTGACACCAGCTCCCAAGCCCCCTCAGATCCCCGTCACCCACCTCTGACTCTAGCCATGGGTCCTGGTATGCCTGGAGTGAACTCTGCCCTGTCATTGTCCCCTGTCAGCCAGTGGCAGAATGTGACCCCAAGTCAGGAAATGGTTCTGAGTAGGCCATGGGAATGACCGGTGAGGGCTGAGGGATTGAGGGCAAGCTTCCTGGGGAAGGATGGGATCATCACAGGCCCAAAGGGGGAAAAGGACATTTTAGCCAATGGGAGGGTACACCGCACACACAAAGGTCCAGAAACAGAACAGAGCATGGCTACAGCGTAGTAAAGATCGATGCAGAGAAATCGGTCCAGTTTGCAGAGAGCCTTCAGAGTCAGGGGCCTGGTCCTGGTAGGAAGATTACTCTTAGGCCTCAGCAAGGAGGTCAGCAGGGCCGAGCCAGGGAGGGAGGGTGTCTCTGGGGACCAGGCCTGGAGCCACAGCTCTGTCCCTAACACAGCATCTCTTTCAGATTTCTCTCAACCATGTGCTTCTGAGAGTTCTGCTGAGGAACGATGGGAAGTCAGCCCAGCAGAGGAAAAACCCTGCCAAGCCCAAGCTCAAGACCCTCTGTCCAAGGCCAGTGCCCCGCGCCCATGCCCGCAGGTAGGCGATGGGGCCCGGGACAGCCAGGCCCTTCCCAGGCACTGTGGGGCTGCACTGGGCCTCCCTGACCAGCCACCAACACAGCCTCAAGGGTCAGTGAGTGCCTGCTGTAGCCCAGGCCTCCCCTGTGAGCCACACAGGCAGGGCCCGGGTCGTGTGGGGCTTACGTTTTCACAGTTAACATCAGACAACCAGGTAAGGTAGGAATGTGAGAGAGTGACAGGTGATAACCAGGAGGACGTGATGGTCCCCCGGGTGTCTCCCAGGGCTTCCTTCCTCCTCCAGCAGTTTATTTGGAGACTGAGCTGGCAACTTTTAAGACCAACCCCGTTTCTATAGTTCTCCATAGCTGCCCTGTCCATTCCAGCAGCCTCTACTTATAGGCAGCTATTTAAATTTAAGCGAAAACTAATGTAAATGTAATACAGTTATATATTCAGCTCCTCAGTCACACTAGCCACATTTCAAATGCCCAAAGCCGATGGCTACCTTAATTGGACAGCACAGTTATAGGCCGTTTCCGTCATCACAGGAAGTTCTATTTGGACGGTGATGCTCTAGTCTCTCCTCTTATCCTGAGAAATGCTGCGAAATACTTGAAGCTGGGGTGACCAGTTAGCTCTGTTGGTTAGAGCGTGGTGCTGATAACACGATAACAAGGTTGCTGGTTCAAACCACGTGTGGCCACTGTGAGCTGCGCCCTCCCTAAAAGAGTTAACAATGCCATTGTAGCATGAAAACCACGTGTAACCAATGACCATGGCTGTTCCCCAATTTAACAAATTTTAAAAAATACTTGAAGCAAAATTACAGCTGTGGCAATTGGAAAAAATTAGCACATACAATGCATATGCTGAACCTATAACCATGGTTTTCTAAGATCGTCCTGACTAAAAATGCTACTTTTTAGGACAGTTAGACAATCAAAATAAATTCTAATATTTTGATGTCAAAACTACAGCCCCCAGTTTGTTTCTTGTTCCCCAAAATAGCCCCTCAAATAATTTCTTAAATCACACCCTGATTTGGGGTTTGATGTCCTCCCGAGAAACAGAACCACAGAACCAATGGGTGGGGTTGGGGTGTGTGTGTGTGTGTGTGTGTGTGTGTGTGTGTGTGTGTGTGTGTGTAAACACAGAGAAATTTATTTTAAGAAATGGACTCACACAGCTGTAGGGCTAGCAAGTCTGGAATCTGCAGGGCAGGCCGGCAGGCTGGAAAGCCAGGGAAGAGTTGATGCTGCAGAATTCCAGAGCTGAGTCTGGAGGCAGAATTCCCACTTCCTCAAATGGTCTCCGTCTGTTACTCGTAAAGTCTTTAGCTGCCTGGAAGAGGCACATCCCCATTATGGAGGGCGATCTGTTTTATTCAAAGTCTACGGATTTAAGTGTTCATCTCATCTAAAAATACCTTCACAGCAACATCTAGACTGGTGTTTGACCAAATATCTGGGTACTGCGGGCTAGCCACATTGAGACATAAAATTCACCATCACAGATAACAAGATGACTCTAAACCAAGCAGCACTTTTAGGAGGAAGAACATGAACACACACGTCAACAGAACTAGGAGACTGCAGAGCCACATGTCTGCGTATTGGTGTTTGGGCAGGAGCTGTCCCCAGTCTGAAAACTCCCCTGCAATAGCTGGGGCTCCCTTCCCACTCCTCAGCCCCCATCTCCTCATCTCCCTGACACCAGCCCCTTCAGGCCCCGTAGGCATCGAGGCCCTTGGCCCTGTCAGACTCCTGATGGGGAGGCATCTGCCTCTTTTTAGCCACCCAATCTGCACAACAGTCTGGGGCCCAGCAGACCCAGCAGGAAGAGACCTGGAAACCACACAGACCTCCATCTCATTTCTTCTGAGTCTAGCCACAGGCAACCGCCCCAAGGCTGCTCTGAGTCATGCCCAGGCTCCTGAGGGGGGTGATGCCTCCCCTGCAGGTGTCCCGGGGCCCTCCCTACCTGCAGGACCGAAGGGGAACATTGTTTCCCCCTCTGCCAGGGCCTCCAAGGGGAGGACAGGCCTCAGCAGGTCTACCTCTGGTCCCAGCAGAAGCATGGATTTGGGGCAACCCCTTCCATGAATCGTTTGTGTCCATCAGCCTTGCATCCATCCAGGCTCAGTTGATTAAGAGCTCGCTCAAGAGTGCGAGCTCTGAGCAACAGCAGTTCGATGCCCGGGCCCGGGCTGAGCTGCCGCTGAGCTGCCAACAGGTGGCAGGATGGCTCAGCTAAATAAATATATAAACAAACAAACAGACAAATAAATAAATGTAAAGCCTTGCATCCATCCCAGTCTAAGGCTCTACCACATGCCAGGCCTTGTGCAGGACAGGCGTTACAGAAGTGAACAAGATAGGCACAGTCCCTGCCTGCAGGGATAGTCAAGACCTAGCGACAGGTGCTTAACCAATAATCAATTTAAGTTGTGTTGGATTTTTTTTATTTTTATTTTTTTTTATAGCTCAGCCATCTTGCAACCTGTTGGCAGCTCAGCTCAGGCTGGTAATCGAACCGCTGTTGCTCAGAGCTCACACTCTTGAGCAAGCTCTTAACCAACTGAGCCACTTGGCCGGCCCTCGTGTTGGATTTTTTTATTTTTTTAATTGGGGAACAACCATGGTCATTGGTTACACATTGCTTTCATGCTACAATGGCATCGTTCACTCTTTTAGGGAGGGCTCAGCTCACAGTGGCCCCAGGTGGGGATCGAATCGGCAACCTTGGTGTTATCAGCACCAAAGTTGTATTGGATTTTAGCAACAGTGTGTTTTAAGGGACTCTGACTGAGAGTGTGTGCTAAGGGGTTCCTCAGGGAACCTTACCAAAGGAAGGGACATTTCATCCAGGGAGTGAAGGGTGAAGGTGAGTCAGCCAGGTAGAGGGAGCCCATCAAGGGGACATCAGTGCAGCTCAGTGGCTCCTAGGGGTGCAAAGCCAGGGCGTCTGGGTGGGGAAGGGGCCTTTTCCGGCCACCTGGTTCCACCCTTGTCAGAGAACGCCCTCCACCAGCCTTGCTTATATCATTATTCCGCATCAGGCATTTCCCTGCACCATGGGATGGACAGGCCCTGTGCTGCAGACAGTTCAGAGAAGGAGAGACCCCTGGACTCTGAGGAGCTCCTGTCTGGGTTCACCATGGGGATCTCTACGTGTGCCTGGGAAGACATGTTGGAACCAGTCCCGGGTGCCTGTGGGAGGGTTGATAGTGGGAGCCCAGACTCGGCTAGACCTCACGTCTGGAGGGAGGGCTGGCCACGAGGGAGACCATCTCTGTCTCCATCCAGAGAGGAGCAAGGCCACAGCTGTGGCTCTGGGCAGTTTTCCAGTAGGCGAGCAGGCAGAGCTGTCACTGAGACTGGGGGAGCCACTGACCATCATCTCTGAGTAAGTCCTTCCACGGGCACTGGGTGGGGTGCTCTACTCCCTGCCCCTGATACCCGAAGATGCACTGATGGGAGAAGGGACCCTCCCTCCAGAAGAAAAGAGCATGGCCTTTTGGTGCTGTGCTCCCATGTGGTCCTCATGGTGGGATTTCAGGCAGCATGACACACCTGCGGGGAGAAGCAGTGGGTGGACGGCTGTACAGGGGGCCCTGAAGTATGCCATCTACCTCCCAAGTGGTACCTGGACTGGCTGGTGCAAGGAAGTCTGGGAAATTCAGGTGGGATCCAGCCTGGAGGATCCTCGTAAATCCTAAAAGAGCCGTTTCTGGGCCTCGGCCCTTCTGAGAGGGGTCTCCCTCCTTTCTCCCTGCAGGGATGGAGACTGGTGGACAGTGCTGTCAGAGGTCTCAGGCAGAGAATACAGGATCCCCAGCGTCCAGGTGGCTAAAATCTCCCATGGGTGAGTTCTCACTCCAGGTCCCACCTTAAGGGACTTTGCTGTGTCATCCTTTGTGCCCATTCCTGTGTTGATCAAAGCTGGGGACAGAAGAGAATCAGGCCCAGGCCCTGCCCTCAAGAGGAGCAGACAGCTAAGACTCTCACATCTTCCCGTGAGACTTGGGAGACCAGAAAACGGGGCGCTGGCAGGAATGTGGTGGGGGAGAATACTGAAAGGGACTTGCAGATGGGACCAGCCTGCATACGTGTCCTGAGGCAAGAAAATGAGGGGGTGGCTCCCCACATGATAGGCCTGCCCTTCCAAGAGGTGCCTCCCGAGGAGGGCCAGACATGGGACACAGGGTCTCTTACTAAGCGCGAGCCATCTCTCACCAAGAGTGAGGGACAAAAGAAACTGACTCCAGAGCAGATTCGATGCCAAGAGAGAGACAGGAAATGAACTGCCTTTCAGTGGGATCTACCGGAATCCCACGGGAATGTGTCCCTGTGTACATGCACTGCTGTGACAGCTGCTTCTGAGTTCTGAGAGAAAGTATGGCTCTGGCACTGGATGACATCCCTGTTCTGAGGCTCACGGTATGTCTAGCTCTGATGAAAGTGACACAGGGACCCTCGCACAGAGGTGTCTGCCAGCCGGCTGAAGCCCACCTTGCCACGTGCTTCCTGGTGGCCTGGGCCTACTGGCTGGAGGTTTTACATCCACAGCGTGGCACTAAATTGAAGCCAAGGAAACACTGACTACCTCCAAGGGCCCCCTTCCCTTGCCACTTCTTCACTTACATCCTCAGTTTTCATAAGACATATGACAATTTTCATAAGTCAACCAGAATGACTTATTTATGACAAAACTAGGCTAAGCTTGCTGCTGGCACCAAGCAAGTCACAGGTTCTCTAATTTATTTACTTGGAATCAACTCAACCCTGACTCTGGCTTTGACTGTGGAATTTCACAAAATGCCAGGGAGGCAGCCGTTTCCATCGAACCGGTTTCTGTCGGCTTTGCTGAGACCACAGGGCGTGACCCTGGGGACTTAGGAGGCTGATGGCCAGTAAACTAAGTTCCTGACAAACTACCCTGAACTTCCCATTGCAGTTAAGTCCTTCATGGACATGTTTAGGTGAGGGATTCAGTGAAAAGAGGAGGAAAAACATGGGAATCAGAGCAATAAAAACTCCAGCATGGAAAGAGGCCCCAAGGAGAAGGATTGTGGAAGAGCTGTCCTTTGGGAGTCACGTATGGTGACTGAAGGGCTGCATGTTTTCTTCCAAAATTTTAGAATGTCTTCAACATTCAAGTTCCAACCTTTCTGTCCACAAATAAGCTTTAATGGCAGTTAGATTTCAGTGATAATAAAGGTTCACCTGCATACCTTTGGCTACAAAGTTAAACTTGAAAATGCTCAAATAACATATTTACTAAAGTTAAAAAAAAAAAAATCCGGCAATTCTCGGAAAGGTGAAGGCTTGGAAAGGTGAGAGGATAGCATATGGGTGCTGGGGGAACTGGGAAGTGATAGGCAGCATCCCCAACTTGCCCCCAGCTCCCTAGACCCTTGGGAATGAGGTCTCCAGGCAGAAAAGTCTGGGGCTGACCCCATGAGGTTGTCCTCTGAGGCCCCTGGAACCAGGACCAGGAGGACAAAGCTGGGGAGCCCTTTAACTCTGAGCCCCAGAGAGGGAGGAGGGGTTTCTTTTCTTTTTTTTTTTTTTTTTAAAGATTTTATTGGGGAATTGGGGAAAGGGAACAGCGCTGGGGAGTTGGGGGAAGGGGAACAGACAAGTTGCTGTCCTTTTGTTCTTCAGTCTAGTTGTGGAGGATGTTGCTTCACTGGCCCAAGTTGGCACCATCATTGCGCTCTTCATGGGCGAGGCAGATCAGTCGCCGGCTTCTGGACGGCCGCTCACTGTGGCTGCTGGCTACACACGGTAGCCCATGGCAACCCACTGCCACAGGGGGCCGTGGCCAGCGACTCATGGCAGCCCAGCTCCAGGTTGAGCTGTTGTTCAGCATCTTAGCTGTAGAGGGCAGTGTCACTGGCCCTCATATGTGGAATCCGAACCGGGGCCCTCTGGTGTCCCAAGCCAGCTCTTAACCAACGCACCACTGGGCCGGCCCCGAAGAGGGGTTTCTTTAGAGCCCTGGCCCATCTACCCCCAGGGTGACCCCTGTCCCTTTCTCTGCTTCTCCCCCAGGTGGCTGTATGAGGGTCTGAGCCGGGAGAAAGCGGAGGAACTGCTGCTGCTGCCTGGAAACCCTGGAGGAGCCTTCCTCATCCGGGAGAGCCAGACCAGGCGAGGTGGGTTAGCTCAGCCCTGTCCCAGGCTTGTCCCTTAAATGCCACGAGCTGAAACGTGATGTGACTTGGGGGTAGAGGGTGGAGGCCAGGTGCAAAGGGCTGGAATACCTGGACTTGGAGTTGGCCAGTCTGGCTGACAGATCATCAGGTTGCTGCCATGCGCACCCACTGGCAACGGAGCATTAACCTGCATTTATTTCTAACAGTGGGTATGAATGGCCCATAGCTGGGATCTAGGCTCAGCCAACACTTGGCAACTGGAACTTGTCATAGAGCATAGTCACAGGATTTCCCTGCCCAGACAGCAATGATTCCTCGCTCCCCAAGACACATGATCCTGATCTCATGGCAAAAAGTTGACAAGGTCTCTGACAAGGCAGTCAGAGCCAAAAAAAATCCCCATTAGAACTCATCTTGTGACCTTCCTGTCTCTGCTGTTCAGATGGGGAAACAGGGGCCTGAAAAGATGTAGGGATGTGTGACATTGCCCATTCATACGGGACTTCCACCTCAGGAGCAGGGCTTTTGCAAACAAAACACAAAGTTAATGGAGTCTGTCTCTGAGTCCCCCACCTCCCTCTGAGCTGCCACCCTGAGTCCCTTACAGCAGGGACAGAGAGAGACGTTGAAGGAGTGGCAGCACCCATGTTTGTGAGGCCCTTTCAGTGCCTTCAAACACCCAGTGGGAGCTGTTCTTCCATTGTCCCCATTTTACAGATGAGGAAATTGAGGCTTAGAGAACAGAAATGGGTCGCTTGGGGAGACACAGCTAAGGAAGTGCAGAACTGGGATTCAAACCCAGCCACGGTTCATCTCACTTCCAACACCCAAGAAAGGCCCACATGTGACAGTAATGGTGGAACTGTAAGCACGGTGGTGGACTAAGGGGGAGGAGATCTTTAGGAGTGAAGACCAGTCCCCTGTGCTCACCCTGATTTGAACCAACTGTGATGGGTTCTCCGGGTCTTTAGCTCTCTACTCAGCCTCCCTCCTGAGGCCCCTCCAGCGCGTCCTTAGCTTCCTCCCCTCCCTTGGAGAGCTCCCTGAGTCGACCTTTCCCCAGCCCCTCCTGCTATTTTCCAGGCAGCGTCAGCACCCCACCCTCACACACACCCACAGGCTTTCTGGGGCGGGGGGCTGGTCCGAGCACAGCAGCTGCAAACAGGAAACCACGGCAGTGGTGCTGATTGAGGCAGGGGCACTGCAGACGGCCCTGTGAGCTTTGAAAGCCACAGGAAGTGCTTCGTGCTCAGCTTCGCACCCCCATCCCTTCTGTGGCCTAGTTCAGCCCCACGAGCACAGTGACCAGCCCTTACTGCCACTGTGCCCCTTTTCTAAAAAGGCACATATACAAGGGGAAATGGCTGAGAAATAAAGGGGAGACGGCCCATAAGGACCCACACTGTGACTGGGATTAAGGTCAGACTTGACTCTGAACTTCCCCATAGCCAACACCAAAGGGGAGAGATCAGAATGCAGCTCTCAGTATCAAAAAAGGAAGAGATTTGCCAATTCTGCAGGAAAAGCGAATTCCCTGGTCCTAACTTCTGATCTCTTATCCGAGGCTTCCTTTTGGACAGTTTATCAAGCTGCAGGCCACGCCTCATCCATGGGCAAAGAAATCCGTTTAGGTCAGTGGTTATAGACCCGTGGGTCTCAAACCTGGGTGGGCATCAGTATCACCTGGAAGGGCTCGTTAGCACAAACGACTGGCCCCATGCCCAGCAGTTCTGATTTGCTAGGTGTGGGGCGAGGCCTGAGAATTCGCTTCTCCCACAAGTTCGCAGGTGCTGCTGCTGCTGCTGCTGCTGCTGGTCTGGGGATCACACTTGAAGAACCGCTGCCCTATACCTCGGCCATTACACATTGGGATCATTTAGGGGAGCTTTATGAACTATCAAGGCCTGCACCCACCTACAGAGTTTCTGATTTAATTGGTCAGGGGTGTGGGCCCTGGCATCTGTAAAAGCCCCCAGGTGATTCTGATGTGCAGCCAGGGTGGAAACCCAGGGCCCTATAGTTCGGATTTAGTGGATCTGGACCAGTGAGTGAAGTGAAATACAGCAGAAAACATCAGGGTTCATCACTGGGGTTAAGGAAAATATTGCCTCATCAAACTTTTGTTTTTGTCCTGGGTCATAGTGTAAAATTTCATACTGTGGTTTGTGGTCAAAAAAATGTTTGATACCGCAGCTCTAGGGGCCCGAGTGACGCCTTAGAGTAGTGGTTCTCAGACTTGAGTGTACAGGAATTGTGTCAGGGGAACTTTTTGACAGTGCAGATGCTTGGGCCCCACCTCACACCTACCGAATCACACTACTGGGTGCAGAGGTCAGAAATCTGCTTCCTTCACAGGCTCCCCAGATGGTCCTTATGTTCTTTTAAGTTTGAAAACACACTTCAAATCTAGGGAACCCAGAATTAAGCAGTAAGAGACAATGTGTTTTGTGTTTGTTTACACAATGCATCATGTCATTTATAACAGAGGTTAACTGTTGAGTGAGTGATATCAGGACCAGCTTTTCTTTGGCCCAAGGTCCAGAGGTACCTCTGTGAAGGGAATTCTGCAGGGACTTCAAGCCAGTGTGTGGACCAAGGAGAAAGGCCTGGGGCCTGTGAGCTCCCAAGAACCCTACTCAGAGTCTGGAGAAGGGAGAGGAAAGCCCCCCATCATTTCTCCAGAGTTCATATAAAAGGAACAGCGCGAGCAAAGGACCAGGGGCCAGATAAGCATAATTGGGTGCTTGCTACGTGTCAGATACTGCTAAATGGTTTACCTGCTTCACCACCTAAAGCCTTGGGGCGATCTGGTCAGACTGGGACAATTATGATCCCCCTTTACAGATGAAGAAACTATCTGAGAGGTCAAGTAATGTGCCTTAGAACACGGCTAGTGAGCATAGGGCATAGGGATGTTACAGTATGTACAATTTGAACCCAGGGAGTCTGAGTTAAAAAGGAGATGACCTGGAACTGGAAGAGAACAGTATGGATTTGGGACTGGCTGGAGCATGCAATAAGAAGGAACAGCAGGATGCCAACCAAGCACATAGGCCACTCGCAGATGGCCTTGGTGGGTGACCTGTCCCTACAGTGAGGGTGACAGCCCCACATAGGTTGACAGAGCTTATTACCCCTGAACCTACCAGCCCCATCCTCAGGATTGCTGTCCTTCCTGGTTCTAGTAACTGTGGTGACAGTGGCCAGGGTGGGGTGGCTGGAGAAGCACGCAGAGGACGTACGGATCTGGTCACTTAGGTTAGCTGGGTTGGTTGGCCTCTGGGACCTATTTTCAGATATTTAGCCCTTTTCCAACCACAGAGCTTTTTCAGGGTCACAGCACAGATCCAGAAGAGAGTCTTCTTAAAGGTACAGAGGTCAAGGGGCCTTTACAATCAGGTGGAGAACAAGGAAAAGGAAGCAGGGACTGTACTCCACACATCTCAAAGTATATTGTCTTTGTATCCTATAGCCTTGCTAAACTCATCTATTTGTTCTAGTAGCTTTTTTGTAGATTCCTTAGAATTGTCTATATATATGATCACATGATCTATAAATACAGTTTAACTACTTATTTTCCAATCCATATACCTTTTATTTCTCTTGCCTTATTACACTAGCTAGGTCCTGTAATACAAGTGAAGTGGTGAGAACAGTTTTGCTTTATTCCCAATGTCAACAAAAGTTCTCAGAGGTACAGAAAAGGAGAGACTTTATTTAGGTGAGTTTGCAAACCAGGGAAACACAGGCTCCAGTGGAAACTGAAAATTCGCTCTACCAAGACAAAAGGGAGGCCGCCTTTTATGGAGAAGGTTCCTAATTGGTACAATTTTATGCAAATGAGCTTTTCCAAATCCTACAGACCTGATTGGTCAGTTTCATGTATTCTGATTGGTTGTTATAGAGCAGTTCTGATTGGTTGGTATAGATGCAAATGAGGACACAATTGTGTAGTTCTGATTGGATGGGGCAGATCTCAGTCCATTGGTCAAAAGGGGAAACCAGACTTCCCTGCATTGGTTGACTCAGTGTAAACAAGTGAGAAGCCAAGAATCCAGTCAGAGGTTCTTCCCAGTATACAGAGTATGTGAGAACCCCCTGTTGGCAAATGGCGACTAGACTCTTAGTATTCATAAAATCTGGGCCCTCGGTTGACCACGGGAAGTTCGTTTCAGCAGATAAATTCCTTCTCAGGGTCCACACCAATCATAGAAGGAAAACTTCAGCCTTTCCCATTAAGTATGATGTTACTGTAGACTTTTCACAGATGCTCTATGTCAGGTTGAGAGGGTGAACCTTTCTGTGGCATGCAGAATAACAGCCCCCCACAAGATGTCCAGGTCCTAATCCCTGGAACCTGTGAAGGAAGTTTATACATGGAATTCCTTTGAGATGAGGAGATGGTTATGGATTATCCAGATAAGCCAGATGAAATCACGAGGATCTTTGCAAGAGGGAGGCAGAAGGGTCAGCGTTTGAGAGAGATTGGCAGATGCCACGCTGCTGGCTTTGAAGTTGGAGAAAGGGACCATGAGCTAAGGAATGCAGGCGCTTTCTACAAACTTGAAGGCAAAGAAATTGATTCTCCGCTAGAGCCTGCAGAAGCAACATAGGTCTGCTGACACATTGATTTGAGTTCAGCAATTTAGTGGCTTAAGACAACACAAATTTACAGTTCTGGATGTCATAAATCTGAAATGGGCTTTATTGAACTAGCAATAGGAAACTATTACATCTTCTATTTGTAGTTTTCTGGTTTTTTGGGGCGGTTGGTGTTGAATTTTGTCAAATGATTTTTCTACATTTCCCCAGGTGATCATATTTTTCTCCTTTATTCTATTAATACAGTGAGTTACACTGATGTTAAATTTTTAGATCAACCGTATTCCTGGGATAAAGCCACTTTGGTCATAATGTATTATCCCTTTTTATATTTGCTGGATTCAGTTTGCTAACAGTTTGTTAAGAATTTTTTTAATCTATGTATATGAGGGATATTAGCCTATTGGTTTTTTTGTAATGTTTTTGTCTGGTTTTTATATTAAGGTAATGCTAGCCTCATAAACTGGGTGGGGAAGTGTTTCCTCCTCTTCTATTTTCTTAAAGAGTTTGTGTAAAATCGGTATTACTTCTTCTTTAAATGTTTCACTAGTGAAGCCATCTGGACTGTGTTCTTTGTGGGAAGTTTGAAAATTATGCATCTAATTTCTGTAAGATATAAGGCTATTCAAAATTTCTATTTCTTGTGTCTGTTTTGGTAATTTGTCTTTTAAGGAATTGTCCATTTCATCCAAGTTGTAGAATTTACTGGCATAATGTTGCTTGTGATATGCTCTTATTATTCTTTTAATGTGTGTAGGATCTATAGTGATGTCCCTCTTCATTCCTGATATTCCTAATTTGTGTGTTCTTTTTTTTTCTTTCTTGATCAATCTACTTTGAGGTTATCAATTTTATCAATCTTTTCAAAGAATCAGCATTTGGTTTGATTTTTCTCGGTTGTTTTCCACTTGAATTTTGCTTTGTCTTTATTACCTTCTATTTAATTCTTTTTTTTTAAATTTTTTATTTATTTATATTTAAGCTGAGCCATCCTGCCACCTGTTGGCAGCTCAGCGGCAGCTCAGCTCGGGCCGGGAATAGAACCGCTGTTGCTCAGAGCTCGCACGCTTGAGTGAGCTCTTAACCAACTGAGCCACTCGGCTGGCCCTACTTAATTCTTTTTCTAGCTTCTTAAGGTGGAAGCTTAATTTATTTTATACCTTCCTTTTCTTCAATTGTAAGCATTTAAAGCTATAACCGTACCTTTAAGTACTGACTTAGCTGAACTCACAAATTTTGCTTTATTAAAAAATATTTTCTAAATTTTCTTGTGATTTATTCTTTGATCCCTAGGTTATTTCCAAGTATTGGGGAATGTGCAGATATCTTTTTGTTATTATAATTTATAATTTCATTCTGTTGTGGTCAGAGAACATACCTTTAATGATTTCAGTCTCTAAATTTGTTTTTATGGCCTAGTTTATAGTCTATCTTGAATATTTCATGTTAATAAAAGAAAATGTATATTATTGATGGGTGCAGTGTTCTATGTTTATTAAGTCAAATTGGTTGATTGTATTGTTCAAGTCTTCTATATCCCTATTGATTTTCTGTCCTATCAAGCACTGAGAGAGGAATGTTGAAATCTCCGGTTATAATTATGGGTGTGTTTTTTCTGTTAATATTCTGTTTTGCTTCATTTATTTTGAATCTCTGTAGTTGGGAGCATACAAATTCAGAATTTTTGTGTCTTGATATGTCCCTCATATCTCTGGTAATATTCATGGTTTTGAATTCTACTTTGATACTAATATAACCACTTGAGCTTTCCTATGATTAATGTTTGCATAATACATTATTTTTTACTTTTAGCCTGTGTTTTATTTATTTATTTTTAGCTGAGCCATCCTGCCACATGTTGGCAGCTCAGCAGCTGCTCAGCTCGGGCCGTGAATGGAACCAGTGACCCTGTTGCTCAGAGCTCACACTCTTGAGCCAGTTCTTAACCAACTGAGCCACTCGGCCGGCCCAACTGTTAGCCTGTGTTTTAATATTCAAAGTGTGTTTATCATATAGTTGGGTTTTACTTTTTTAAATCCAGTTTGAAAATCTCTGCCTTTTAATTGGAGTGTCTAGATCACGTCAAAATAAATGCTTCCTAAAACTGAGCAATGCCTGTGGTTTGGGATTCACTCCTGCCTTTTTGTTGGCACTCCACAAGGAAAGGTTAAGTGACAGGGTCACCGCCTCTTTCTTCTTCCAGGTTCTCTGACACAGTTTTCTCATCTGTAAGGTGGAGATAATTGTACCTACCTCATAAGGGGATTATGAGAATTAGATGAGATAAGCCATATAAAGCACATAGTAAGCACTCAATAAATGAAAGCCACAGATAGCGTCAGTTCATTAGTAATAACAGATTATTATAATTTCACTAAGCACCCTCTTCCCATTTGGCTTTGATGAAGTGTTGACTTAAGAAATGAACCCCACTTTAGAGTTACCAAGTGCTGTCATATGTATCCTTATCTGCTGCAAACTATCAGAGGCCTGTATGATCTTTACATTGTCTTCTTTCTCCGTTCATTTTTCAACCATGTGCTTTCCTTGTCTAGTCAGTTTTTGTAAAAATTAAAATTTTTGTTGAAAGCTATCAAACTGTACACTTTAAATGTGTGCGTTTTATTATATGTAAATTATATCTCAATCAAGTTGATTTTAAAAACTAAAAAGGCAAAACTGGAAAACTTCTGTCACATACATTAATGTATATAATATACCTTTATAGGTTAAAGACTAATAAGAAAACCAACATCCAGGTGCCCACTTACCGGCTTAAGAAATTGTGCAGTAACAATCCTTTTGGAGCCCGCTGCATGCTTCACTGTTAATCATTCAGTTATTTTCTTCATAGCTTTGCCATATATCTCTATGCAACAGTCTTAACTGCCTTTGACCTTAATTTAAGTAGAATTATGCTGAATGTATGCTTCTGTGACTTGCTGCTTTTGCTTGTTATTTTTAAGGTTTATCTGTGCTTATATGTGAAGTGGTTTTATTGCTGTATAGTATTATATTCTATAATCCACCATTCTATTGAGTGCATATGGGGTATTTGCAGCTTTGGGCTTTTCCAAACAATGCTGCTATGAATATTCTTGTTGGTGCATTTCCAAAGTAACGTGCTGGGCTGGAACTGCTGGGCTATGAGGTATGTGCATGTTCCACTATTTAATCCCAACTGTTTCCCAAGTGGCTGGTACTAATTCATCTTTCCACCAGCAGGGTAAGAGAGTTCCTATTTCTCCACGTCCTTGCTGACATCTACTGACACATTTTCATTCTAACACTTCTGCCCACTTGTCTTTATAACAACAGACAACACTTAATGTTCACTTAAATTGTGCCCGACTCTGGACTGAGGGCTGTGTGTATGATCTCATTTCATCCCCACAAGAGCCCTATCTATTATGAATGTGTTGTCATTTATGACCAAGACAGCAAGTCTTTGTCCTTCCCCTGCCCGCTTCCCTTCTGTCTGGGCCCGTGGCCACCTCATCTCGTCCTCTTCCCAACCTGGGTGGGGCTGGGTCCCAGCAGGGCCCTGGCTCCACCTTGGACCCTCTCCTCCTCAGGCTGTTATTCCCTGTCAGTCCGCCTCAGCCGCCCTGCATCCTGGGACCGGATCAGACACTACAGGATCCAACGCCTTGACAATGGCTGGCTGTACATCTCACCACGCCTCACTTTCCCCTCACTCCAGGCCCTGGTGGACCATTACTCTGGTATGGCCTTTCCCTGCCTCCGTGAGATCAGACTGGCTATGGGGTCTTGGGGGAGCAGACAGTGTGCCCTTACCTGCTGAACATCTAGATAGATGGAAGAGTGCCACCCTTATCTTCATGCCAGTCCCTGTGCCAAGAAACAGCCCTGTCTTCATCCCATGCCGACAGCCACAGACCTTCCGTATGAGCCAGTAACTCACCCACCACTGTAGTTTTGAGCCAAAGCACCCAGCGGCAGGCACAGTTCTTCACAGAAACTAGGCCCAGAGCTGTTGCTGTTGTGGAATTTGGTTGAGTCTCAGCATTTTATGGAGTTTGTCCAGTAACAGGCACTGGAGGATGTAGTCACTAGGGCACTGCGTCAAGGGGCAGAGAGGAAAACTGACCAGGGGTTTTCTGCAGCGCTGTTCATGCGGTAGATGCTGACAGTACAAGTAGAGATTGAACATTCCTTAGCTATCTTCTTCCTGAAGCACCTTCCTAGCCAGAAACTGGGCTCAGAAAGATCCATCAACTTACCCCAAATCATAGTAAATGAAGTCTCCCAAAACCTAGCCCAGAATGACCTCTGACTGCGTCTCAGCCTCCAAGAGACCAACAGCTTAGGACTCATGCCGTCCCTCCTTTTAGACCTTGCCCCCACCTGCCAAGTGTGTCAAGCTGACGGGGTAAGGGTGGGGGTTGTTGGGGAGGAAAGCAGGGCTGCAGTCAGCCATGTCAGGGATCTGGGTCTCTTCCGCAGAGCTGGCGGATGACATCTGCTGCACCCTCAAGGAGCCCTGTGCCATGCGGAGAGCTATCCTAGTCCCTGGCAAGGACATACCCCTACCTGTGACTGTGCAGAGGACACCACTCAATTGGGAAAAGATAGACAGGTAAGGGGACCCCTGGAACATGAAGGTGGAATCGAGTTGGAAGGAGTCACCCCTGGGAACCCAGAATAAGCCTGTCACCTTCGGAGACACGGCGGGGGGACAATGAGCATTGGTTGAGCTCTTAGAGGCCAGCCCAGGCTCAGCAGGTGCGTAAGGGGGACTGGCAGGGAGGAAAAGCGGGCATGGACATAGGGCATGCCTGGACACCACAGGTGGCCAGGATGGAAGGGAGGTCAGACCAGATGGGACAGAAGAGAGACTCCCAGTCCTGAGTGAAGTCAAGCTGAGGTTTGATGACAGGGAACAGAGAGCCAGTTTTTCAGTACCAGTGACTTGAAAATAGGTTTTAAAAAACAGTGCACCGTGTGGTGAGTGCCCTGCAGGGAGGATGAGGCTCCTTGACCCAGCTCTTTCCCTCTCCATAGCGCCCTCCTGTTCTCTGAAGCACCTGCCACGGGGGAGGAGTCGCTCCTCAGCGAGGGGCTCCGGGAGGCCCTCAGCTCCTACATCAGCCTGACTGATGACATCTCCTTGGATGATGCCCAAGCCCCAAGGAGAGGCCGAAAGGGGAACCAAGGCTGCAGCACCTAGAATCCCAACTTGGCTCAGCCTGACTGAGCACCCGAGGCAAGGCTGTCCACTGAGTGCGGGGAGGGCAGGGACACAGGCACATTCAGGGGCCCACCTCTGCTCCCGCCTCTCAGCCCTAAGAAGTCACTAACGCCCTTCCTAAGCAAACATCCATGTAGAATGATTAAATGGAAAGTTGCTTCTTAAAAAAAAAGTCACTAAGCTCCTCCCAGTGCCATGACCCCACACCTGCAACCTCTAGTTCAAGTACAGACCAGTTGAGAGTAAGACCAGAGCTCCCAAGAGAGATTAGCTTCCTCTGGGGTCTGATGTCAGTGCCTGAGTTTAGGATTTCCAGTACCATCTTTCTCCCCTGCCAGCTGAGTCTGATTCGAACCCCTCCCCTCACTGCTAACCAGCCTCACCCACAAGGTAAAAACCACCACCAGCATCAAAGAAAAAAAAATCACTTAAAAGAAAATTTACACGTCTCACTAGGAATACTTCTACTCTGTGGCCTAGAAGGGACAGCAAAGCAGAGGGGTGGCTAGTTCACCACAGCAGCAGAACCTGGGTGGTCCAGCCTCCCCATGACCCCAGAGCAAAGAGAAGGACCTCTGGCAGTCAGGTCCTCAGATGTCCCCATCAAGCCCCTTCTTTGGGCAGCTGTAGCTCTCAGATCTGTTTCATTTTGTGGCTTATCATTTGGACCTGGCCAAGCCTTAACTGGCTACAATGCCTTGCCATCTTGTGGCCAAATGCAAAATGACACCTTCTGAGCTTAGTGCACTGCGATGAGGTCAGTTGTGTGTGGTTCTCAGTGCTGGGCAGGGGCACTGGGCATCAGAAAGCGGTATGCCCTCTCTCCACAAAGCCACAGAAGGAAAGAGGCCTGGCTGGAGCTGCTGGGAGCAGGGAGAGGAAGAGGGGTGGGGATGGGAGGGCACCACCTCTAGTGTTTCTACTAGGTTCTCAGGCTAGAGGTGAGGTGGGAAAGGCTTTACCAGGTATCATCAACAGGTTGTCCATTAAAGATCTGATTTATTCAAGTATCTGAAAACATTCTACAATGGAAACTGGTATTAGATGCTGCTTGTACTGTGCTATGGACCATGCACATACTGCCATACTGTTTCAGAGGACTTGAAATGCCACTGATAGTTTAAAAACTGTACACCCGATGGAGAAGTAAGGAAGACAATTTAATGTTTCATCCGGATCCAGAGGTGCATCAAATTAAACAACAGCTCCAATCGGCAAACAAGTTTCTTGACGGTATCCAAGAAGAAATGGCTGTGATAGACAATTCAGAAATGCTTCCCCAAAAGGTGGATGGTTCTTTGAAAAGTTTCAGGTCACAACCTTTGCTGAAACCACTGACGCCCAACACACTGATTCTTGGTCCAGGAAACTAGGATCTTCCAGGTTCCACGTGGCTGGGGTGGCCCTATAATCATGGTTCTGTGCTGTAACTAAGAGGCTCCTTCGGGCCGGACAGGGAGCAGGTGGGGACTGTACGCCATCAGTCATAGTGGATGGCTGTGTAGAAAATGATCCATATGACCTAGAAAGGAGACAATCAATGCACACAGGTCACCTGGTTAGGGCAGGCTCCGCTCCTATTCCACAAACGAAGAATGTCAGATAAGAATGTGAGCATGGTGGGCTTCCCAGGGGTCAGCCAACGAATCATTTGCTTGGGGACCTAATAACTTCAATGAAACCAAGCTGTCTCTAACAGAGCCCAGGACCACCTACCTGGGCTCCCAAAGGGACCCCCAACAAGCCTCTCCTCCCTGCAAACAGCAACCTGAGCACCAGGGAGTGGGGTTATAGATGTGGAAACGATACAGGTAAAGCAGACTGTACTGCTAGTAGGTGCTGGGATTAGCAACAAAATAGCCATCATGATGCCCTGTAAGCACCATATCAAATAAAAGCATAGATTCTCAAAACTGGCTGTCCATGGCATCTCCCAGGACCTTTAAAAATACATATATAGATACCCAGGTGCCACCTCCCAGAGGTTTCTATTTTATTGGTTTGGGCTAAGATCTATTAAATAAATAAATAAATGTATGTATGTATGTATGTATATGTATGTTCCATAAAGTATACAATTTGGAGGCTTTTAGTATATTCAGAGGTGTGCAAATACCACCATGAACTGATTCTGGAATATTTTCATCACCCTCAAAAGAAAATATGTCCCAGGCCAGCCAAGTGGCTCAGTTGGTTAAGAGCTCACTCAAAAGTTTGAGCTCTGGGGCCAGCCAAGTGGCGTGTTGGTTAAGAGCTGTCTTGGGATGGATTCCACATGGGGGTCAGTGACACTGCCCTCTACAGCTAAGATGGTGAACAACAGCTCGACCTGGAGCTGGGCTGCCGAGAGTCGCCCGCGATGGCTGACTGCAGCCCCTGCTGCAGTGGGCTGCCGTGAGCTACCATGTGTGGCTGGCAGCCGGTGTGAGCTGCTGTGAGCTACCGTGTGTGGCAGGCAGCCAGCGTAAGCGGCTGGCAGCTAGTGTGAGCTGCCAAGAGCCACCATGAGCGGCCATCCAGAGGCCGGTGACCAATGTGTCTCACCCGGGAAGAGCACAATGATAATACCAACATGGGCCAGTGAAGCAACATCCTCCACAACTAGACTGAAGAACAAAACAACAGCAACTTGTCTGTNATCGTAGAAACAGGCATTTAAATGTTTGGTGGTTGAGGGAGGGGTCCAGAGAGGACTGGAAGGGTTCAAACTGAGCTTTAAGGATAGGCATAATTGTCCCAGGCCAGCCAAGTGGCTCAGTTGGTTAAGAGCTCGCTCAAGAGTTTGAGCTCTGAGCAACAGCAGTTCAATTCCCGGCCCGAGCTGAGCAGCTGCTGAGCTGCCAACAGGTGGCAGGATGGCTCAGCTTAAAAGAAAAAAAGAAAATATGTCCCCATTATAAGTTCTTTCCCCTTTCCCCTCCCCCAAAGCTACTGGCAACCACTAATCTAACTTTTTGTACATATGAATCTGCCCATTCTGGATATTTCACATGAATGGAATCATACGACATAGTCTGTCTGGATTCTTTCATTTAGCATGATGTTTTCAAGGTTCATCCATGTTGTACCCTACATTCCAGTACTTCTTCATTCCTTTTTATGGCCAAATAATACTCTGTATGGGTATACAACATTTTATTTATTCATTTATCAGGTGATGACTATACTTTCTGGCCATTATAAATAATGCCATGAATATATTTTAAAATGTTTCCCAGTTGTCTCTAATATGCAGCCAGAGTTGAGAATCAGATGTAGACGCTGACAATGGGCCCTGCAGTTGCACACCACACGGAGACTATACAGTATATCACACCATACTTTCTGGGACAGCATGGCTCAGGAGTGGATATGCCCTCCAGCTTCAGGAGCCTTTTTTTTTTTTAGTTGAGCCATCCTGCCACCTGTTGGCAGCTCAGCTTGGGCTGGGAATAGAACCGGTGACCCTGTTGCTCAGAGCTCACACTCTTGAGTGAGCTCTTAACCAACTGAGCCACTCGGCCGGCCCCTCAGGAGCCTTTTAAAAAAATGGTACACTAGGGCCAGCCAAGTGGCGCATTGGTTAAAAGCTGCCTTGGGATGCCAGGGGGCCCCGGTTCGGATCCCACATATGAGGGCTAGTGACACTGCAGTCTACAGCTAAGATGCTGAATAACGGCTCGACTTGGAGCTGGGCTGCCATGGGTCACCGGCAACGGCATAGGCTGCAGTGGGTTGCCATGGGCTACCATGTGTAGCCAGCAGCCAAAGTGAGCGGCCGTCCAGAAGCCGGCGACTGGTCTGCCTCGCCCAGGAGGAGCGCAATGATGGTGCCAACTTGGGCCAGTGAAGCAACGCCCTCCACAACTAGACTGAAGAACAAAAGGACAGTAACTTGTCTGTTCCCCTTCCCCCAATTCCCCAGCGCTGTTCCCATCCCCCAATTCCCCAATAAAACTATTAAAAAAAAAAAAAAGGTATACCAATCGCAGTGTAACTCAATCAGTAGGCTCCCCGAATGACTCATGAAATGATACTTGCTGTAAAACTCTCAGCTATACATACCATGAACAAGGCAAAAGATGTCATAAACCCTTCTTTCGTGAGCTCCCATGTGCCGCCATATTCTTCCTCATCTATCTGTAGATAGTTGCTGAAGTAGAGGTACAGGACTCCTGCATTGATCAGGCAGAATCTGGAGTGAGGGAGGACAAGTACCAAACATAAGACTCAGGACTCCTGCCAGCACAGTCCAGTGCTATCAAGGTACTCACTGTTGCAGTTAACTAGTTCTGTTACAGAGCAATTGAAATAATACATGGAAACACCTAGGCCCTCCAAGGAGCTCCCCATTGGCTGAGTTAGAGACTTAAAGAAGGAACAACCCCTTTTAGATGGCCAGTCAAAGCAAAAAATAAAATTAAAAAGCAGACATAAATTCTCCAAGCCCCCTTGAAGTAAGAGGATGGCTGCTGAGCCATCCCAAACAGGACCACAATCTGACATGGGTCTCCAGGTAGCTCCAGCTGGGGTGGGGGTGGCCGAGGGACTAGCACGGGTTAAGCTGCTGCTTCGTGGCCTAGGTGAGCAAGCATGGGCACACTAAAGCAGCCCCTGCATAATTCCCAATGGGAGACAATGTCTAACTGTCCAGTCTGCTACGGCACTTGCAGCAGAGGTGAACATGACAGTTCCTTCCCTCAGCTTGCCACCTAACGGGGATAAGAACAGCAGTGAGAGTGGAGTTGAAACCAGAGGTTTGTGAGCAACTCCAGGAAGGTCTTTGATCCCCATCATGTATTATTTAACTGATGCAGGATTTAGAATGCAGCGTGTGGTAACATCACCCTCCGCTGCTGATCTCTTGGTACTGTCGTTATGTAAAAGCAACTTTCATAAAGTGACCAAGACTTTAGATCTTTCCAGTGGCAATATCTAATCTAATGGGGGACTGCATGTCTCAGGCCACATCCCTTCTGAAGGCTGAGGTGGAAAAATGCAAAGAGAACTCATTCCTCCTAATGGATGAAGTGTGGGCTGGTGGACGGCAGGGCAGTTCGATGATGCTGTGGAGTGTACATGAGTGTAGAAGGGTGGAGGGGAGTACTGAGGCAGTCTGAGCGAGGTGGGGGTGGGTAGGGTGTGCACACTTCAGGAAAGCTAGTTTGTAAGTAGTGAGAGTGGAGGCTTTCTCCTGAGCGGAAGGAACTGGGGCTGGGAGACTGGTTTAGACCTGTACCATGTTTCAGGACATGAGCCTAAATCAAGTTTGAGGCCAGGGACTAGGACAATGGCTGAGTGGGGAGGAAGAGGCCACAAAGGCTTCAAGCCTAAGGGAGTACAAGATTCCAGTAACACAGCAGGGAGTCAGGAAAACAGAAGGTTTTTCTTGGATTTCGCATAAAATGGAGTCCTTGGCTTGGCCACATCCTTATCTTCTGCCAGAAATCTTGGAACCTGGCCAATCTGGCCACCTCTCTCTGATAAAGAGTTTCCTTTTGGACAGGCTGAGTTAGTGGCTCTAAAGACTACTAATGGGACTTAGAAATGTCACTCTGGGACTGTGCTAATAAGCTAGGCCTGGAGAATGACTGGCGACTCATTGAGTGTTTCCTGCTCTAAAAGTGACCGCTTAGTGAGATGACATAGGGAAATACAAGGGAAAGATGAGATAAGGAATGGTGGGGTGAAAGAAAAGGGCTGACATAAACCCTGCCTTCTAAGGGTTACACACTAAGTAAAAGTAAAATCGTAGAAACAGGCATTTAAATGTTTGGTGGTTGAGGGAGGGGTCCAGAGAGGACTGGAAGGGTTCAAACTGAGCTTTAAGGATAGGCATAATTTCCATATTGTAAATGAGGACAAGAACCACACAGCAAATGTGCACATGAATGTGCTGGATTGGGGGCTGGAGGAGCTGACTCTCAAATGGGTTTTTAAAAATTCTATCATAATAACTCCTGTCAGAATTTTTAACAAAAGAATGAATCTAACAATTACTTTGACTTCAGGGTTGGAAGGCCACAACAGTAATGTACGGCTCTTCTTTCAAGGGTCAATGGGAATTCATTTCAGTTTTTTAAAAAATTTAACAAGCGTTCACCAAGATCCTATTATTAATCATGTGCTAAGCTCTGTGAAGGGCAGGCAGGAAGGCAGGGACAGGGCCGCTCTCTGATAATGAAAACCTCAGCAGACAGCAGAACCATCACTCAGTTCTCAGGAAATTATATTGGGTTGTCAGAAAAGTTATGACGTATTTTTTCTATATTTTTCGTTGCAAAAATGCGTCATGACTTTTCTGACAGCCCACTAGATGAGACCCAAGGAAATGGTTTTACCTTAATGGGCCCTAACTGGTGGCCACACCAGGAATGAAGAGAAGCCAATCTGGGGTCGAGGCAGAGGGCAGCTTAAGGCAGGAAGTGAGGAGGAGAGGGTCACAAGAACTAGGCACCAGAGGAGTTCTGCCCTTAAGACCAGGCAGATGGGTCAGACAGATGGAAAATAGGAGATGTGTGTGGAGAAACCGATGTCCTTGGGCCCTTTCCAAGAGCAGCGGAAAAGGTGCCAACCAAAGGAGGGAGGGATTCGAGTTTTGGCTCTGGCAGTCCAGTGTGGGACTGAATCCCAGAAAGCAGTCCTGAGAAAACGGCGCTATGCACTATGGGTGAGTCCCAGTAAGGTGAATGCACTCCCCAATACCCCATTTCCTGTCTTCTCAATAGCCGTATTTGACCACTCTTTGTAAAGCTAATCATATAATTGCAATCAACCTATGATGTAATGCGCACTTCATACAGCAACTTACTTGGATTATCTCATTTAATTCACACCCCAATCTTATGAGGAAGACACTTTTATTGCTCTGTTTTAATGATGAAGATACTGAGTCTCAGAGAGGTGAGCCCAAACTTATGTTGCCTGAAAGTGGTAGAGCTGGAACTTGAATCCAGAACTTTATATAAAGTGTTTTTTTGATTTTTATTTTTTTTTTAAAGAAAGGTCTGTTTGGGCGGCTTAACTCATCTACCACAGTGGGAAGGATACTAGACTAGCTCTAGTCCTTGCTCTATCATTCCAGATTGGGTGGCTTCAGAGAAATCCCTTAGGAAGCCTACAAGACATGACGGGTGCAGCGGGCCCTGAAGTAGTCTTGTCCTCTCCCTAGACAAGTGGCCTTGGAAGACGAGAAACTCTCTCTTGCCCTTAGATTACCTCCTGCCGTTTTCTGGCATTTTCCTCGTCTGCCTTTTCTCTCATAGAAAGCTCAAAGGGGTGACCGGCATTCTAAAAATATTATCTATATACCTCCTCCAAACTGGGAAGACCTCTGTTAACCTGGGGTCCTGTGTCTCATCACCCTCAATCAGCCCTCATCAAGTGTCCACTCTGTCGGCATCAAGCAGAGGATAAACTCTTACTGGTTTCCTTGTACAAATGCTTTGCTCAGTATGATACATCAAAAATCTTTTTAGTTAGCAGAGATACATTCCTTTGGGGTTATCTTCTAAGAAAACAAGCAACTCAAATTTGATACCTATTTCACCCTTTTTACCCTAGGAAAATGACCAATGTGATTTCCCATGGTAAGTGTGACAGTTTGTATTCCTGACGTGAAAAGAGAAAAGTCACAGGCTTCTTACCTGTCCATTTCCACCATAGCTTGTCCCCAATTCCTATCTTAAGGTAACTCCCACACACTCTTTGAATTCAATCTGGTGGGCATGTGAATTCACTTTCAGTGGCTTGTTAAGAAGCTGAGCCATGGCCAGGGCCTCGTGTCAACTGTTTCTACGGGCCACAGGAGCACAGTAAAAGGTGAAGGGCCCAGCCTTCTATTTTCTCACTGCCTCTAAAATGTAGGAACCTGAAACAACTTCTGCAAAAGCCAAGATTCGGCACATCCAGCACAATGCCAGGCACAAGTGGTCATCAAGTACAGAAGCTCCTCCACTTTCCAAACTTACATACAAACAAAGGTTATGCTAGAACCAGATACCTGCCAACAGACATGTGGTAGCTTCTTGCGTGAGGTCGCTTTGGACCCATGAATGAATGGACTGGCCCAGCCTTCAGGAAGGTAACATGTCTGACCTAAGATGCTCCTGGGCTTGCTGACCCAGACCCAGGAGTGCCATCATGAGGCCACCTTTTTGCTTTAGACACACACACACACACACACACACACACACACACACACACACACACAGTCATATAAGAAAAAATCCTCCAATATAGCAATGGCCTGTTCCATAAAGGGAAACCAAAATCTCTATTTGAAAAGAAATGATATCATGAAAATGCAAGACACCCAAGACTTACCCTGCTATTCCCAAGAAACCCCGCAATGGTAACACTCCCCAAATGACGCCTAGGACCACAGCAATGATCTGTCGGAACCAGTAGATCACATCTAAAAATTCATCCTGCAGAGAAAAGAGACTGCATGCATTATCTGGAGTGGGGGCCAGAGAGGACAGCCTCCTGCAATAGGTAATGAATAGAAAAGCTTCCTGCTAAACACATCTTCCAGGGAATTTCCCCCAAAGCAACAGTGTGTGGCTCTCACATCTCCGCCTCTTCTTATACTAAAATATGGTTATCTTGAGTGATGACTTCTAGGAGCTGTACTCTAAATAAAAATTTTAGAAAAATCATTTCCCTTTTTTGAGAAGCTGCAAAAATGAAATGGCTTGTGGTGAAATGGCTGTGATAGTACTGTCCTACTGGCCACCGATAACTCTTATCTGACCTGGGGAGACCTAGACAGACTGACCTCTGGCAGAAGGGCTGACAGTCAGCCCCGGCTTCCTGCAACCTGAATTTTGAGTAAGTCATAAAACAGAGGATTAGAAACAAAAGTGCTGGAGGCAGGTGCCAGCGTATCTATTTTACATACAAGGACACAGAAGACTCAGATTTCTGACCTGCCCCAGATGGCAGAAACCAGTCCTTACAGGAGGAAAGAAAGAAATGACACAGCAGATCAGAAAAGTTTTATGGAGCTGGGCAGGGCTGGGGCACTTTCAGGAAGTACCTACCATCCCCCATTACTGGAACTCCAGGAAGGAAAAGCCATTTCACTAGTCCAAAAAAACAAAAGACTACAAAATATAACATTCTTTTCAAGCCAACTGGAATCAAGCAGTTTGTGATGGTCCCTTCCACGTGATGAAGCCGAGGCGGGGAGTGCCCACACTCAGATCTTCTGAACGTGTGTCACCAGTAAGGTGATCTTGAAGCCCCAACCATTCCTTACACGTTTGGTGTCTGTCTGTCTCGCGCGCGCGCGCACTCGCACACGCGCGCACACACACACACGCAGACGGCAGTCTCACTTTCCTTTCAACGCTCACACTTAAGGTACTCGGTCTTTCTCATTCAACAACAAGCACTGCCAGCTCACCGTTAGTGAGCCTCACCATGTGCTAAACTCTTTACTGCACCACACTACCCCACTTCAGAGTTGTTCTGAAAAATGAGATAACGTACGGAGAGCACCTGATATAGAAAGTATTCAGTAGATACCCGTTACCATGACCGTTCGTGCTAACGACTGAGTTAGTAGTTAATTCGGAGAAAGTAAGTCACTACTTAAGACCCTACTGGGAGTAAAAGGTGGAAGTCGAATCGAATTCAGCTCCCTCTAGCTGTTCAGGCACACGCCCTGCTCGCTGGTGACACCTCCTCTGCCCCGGGCTTCCCGCGTGACCCAAAAGTGGTTGATCCTTAGGCCACCCCGCGGTGAGCCGGCTGTCAGGCCCGGGCCCACCGAGTTCGCCCTGACCCTTGGGCCACTCACCCGACCACCCCACACACTCGACCGAACCCGGACGAGGGCAGGTTCGGGCTTGTCCATTAGCCCCCGAATCCCAGCCGATTCCTCGAATCTGAGCCCTCGCCAAATACTACCGCACCTTGTCCTCCCAAGCCGCGTCGCTTCGCAGCACCTTGCTCCAGACAGAGACTTTGAGGGCGCCGTTGGCCAGCTGCGGCTGAGGCGGCTCCTCCTTCCGCCGCCCGCCGCTCATCCTCCCGTCGCGCCGCCCGGGCCGGGCCTGGGGCGCGCGGGCCGAAGCGAAGGGGATCGGGCCTGGGGTCGCGGGTCACGGCTCTGGGGGCGGCAGTGACAGGCTCGGCAGTCCGGTTCGGCGGCGCGCTGCAACTGCACGCACTCAGCCAAGCACCCCGGCTCAGGTCGCTCGACCGAGACCAGGGACCGCGGAGGGAGGAGCAACGCAGCACCGTGCGTCCACCCGCCGACGTGCCCTCGCAGCCAATCGGCGGCCTCATAGCAGCCCGAGTAGAAAAAGTAGCAGTCGGCTCTCTGATAATGAAAACCTCAGCAGACAGCAGAACCATCACTCAGTTCTCAGGAAATTATATTGGGTTGTCAGAAAAGTTATGACGTATTTTTTCTATATTTTTCGTTGCAAAAATGCGTCATGACTTTTCTGACAGCCCACTAGATGAGACCCAAGGAAATGGTTTTACCTTAATGGGCCCTAACTGGTGGCCACACCAGGAATGAAGAGAAGCCAATCTGGGGTCGAGGCAGAGGGCAGCTTAAGGCAGGAAGTGAGGAGGAGAGGGTCACAAGAACTAGGCACCAGAGGAGTTCTGCCCTTAAGACCAGGCAGATGGGTCAGACAGATGGAAAATAGGAGATGTGTGTGGAGAAACCGATGTCCTTGGGCCCTTTCCAAGAGCAGCGGAAAAGGTGCCAACCAAAGGAGGGAGGGATTCGAGTTTTGGCTCTGGCAGTCCAGTGTGGGACTGAATCCCAGAAAGCAGTCCTGAGAAAACGGCGCTATGCACTATGGGTGAGTCCCAGTCAGGTGAATGCACTCCCCAATACCCCATTTCCTGTCTTCTCAATAGCCGTATTTGACCACTCTTTGTAAAGCTAATCATATAATTGCAATCAACCTATGATGTAATGCGCACTTCATACAGCAACTTACTTGGATTATCTCATTTAATTCATACCCCAATCTTATGAGGAAGACACTTTTATTGCTCTGTTTTAATGATGAAGATACTGAGTCTCAGAGAGGTGAGCCCAAACTTATGTTGCCTGAAAGTGGTAGAGCTGGAACTTGAATCCAGAACTTTATATAAAGTGTTTTTTTGATTTTTTTTTTAAAGATTTTATTGAGGAATTGGGGGAGGGGAACAGCGCTGGGGAATCAGGGGAAGGGGAACAGACAAGTGGCTGTCGTTTTTGTTCTTCAGTTAGTTGTGGAGGATGTCGCTTCACTGGCCCATGTTGGTATTATCATTGCACTCTTCCCGGGTGAGGCAGATTGGTCGCTGGCCTCTGGACGGCCGCTCATGGTGGCTCTTGGCAGCTCACATCGGCTGCCAGCTGCTCACGCTGGCTGCCGGCCACACACGGTAGCTTACGGCAGCCCACTGCAGCAGCAGCTGCAGCCTACGCCATTGCCAGAGACTCACGGCAGCCCAGCTTCAGGTCGAGCTGTTGTTCACCATCTTAGCTGTAGAGGGCAGTGTCACTGGCCCCCATGTGGGATCTGAACCGGGGCCCTGCTGCTCAGAGCTGGCGTCCCAAGCCAGCTCTTAACCAACGCACCACTTGGCCTGCCCTTGAGTTAATTTTTAAAAATTTATTTTTTCAGTTATACTTGATATACAATAGTATATTTGTTTCAGGTGTACAACATAGCAATTAGACATTTATATACTTTACAGAGTGATCAGCCCAATAAGTCTAGTACCCATCCGGTACCATATATAGTTATTATAATATATTGACTATATTCTCTATGCTGTACTTTACATCCCTGTGACTATTCTTATAGCTGGCAATTTGTTCTTAACCCCTTTCCGAGTTAACTTTTTTATACGGTGTTAGGTAAGGGCCAATGTTATTCTTTTATATGTGGATATCCAGTTTTCCCACCACCACTTGTTAAAAAGGCTTTCCTTTCCCCACAGGTCTTGGCACCTTTTTTTTTTTTTTTTGGCAATTGGGGGATGGGAACAGTGCTGGGGAATTGGGGGAAGGGGAACAGACAAGTTGCTGTCCTTTTGTTCTTCAGTCTAGTTGTGGAGGACGTTGCNCCGCCCGCCGCTCATCCTCCCGTCGCGCCGCCCGGGCCGGGCCTGGGGCGCGCGGGCCGAGGCGAAGGGGATCGGGCCTGGGGTCGCGGGTCACGGCTCTGGGGGCGGCAGTGACAGGTTCGGCAGTCCGGTTCGGCGGCGCGCTGCAACTGCACGCACTCAGCCAAGCACCCCGGCTCAGGTCGCTCGACCGAGACCAGGGACCGCGGAGGGAGGAGCAACGCAGCACCGTGCGTCCACCCGCCGACGTGCCCACGCAGCCAATCGGCGGCCTCATAGCAGCCCGAGTAGAAAAAGTAGCAGTCGCCTTGGCGCAAGCGCTCTACGCGTGGCGGACGTGACGGCAAGCTTCTGCCAGGCGCGCGGTAAGGTGAGAGGGAAGGGACAATCTTGGTAGGGACGGCAACCCGAGCATGAGGGGGCGCTGTGGAGACCGAAGAGCGGCGTCTGAAGCCAAAGCAGCCGGCCGAACGCGAACCTGCATTTCTCAAGGCTCGACCCCAAACCTTGCTCCCCGGGAGTCCCAGGCTGCCTCTCAGGATTTAGGCTCTGCTCGTTTTCTCCCCTATCTCTGCAAGTTCCATAGGACATTAACTCTTATTTGTAATTACTTAGTGTTCCGTCTTGCCCAGCACCCTCTTTTGGCAAATGAGCCCTGAGACCCAAAGAGGGGAAATGATTTTCTAAGGCTATATAGGAAGTTGGAACCAGCTGAGGACTCCTGACAGGAAAACTGGAGAAAGTATTTTATTAGGTATCAGAATATCTGAGTATTCATCTGTTATGGCCTCACTATGTACTAGGTCAGTGGTTCACAGGTTTCTGAACCAGCAGCAGCCACATCACCTAGGAACTTGGTTAGAGATGCAAGTTCTCGGACTCCATCAGATATTCAGGGGGCGGGACCTATAATCATCGTTTTAATAAGCCTTCCAGTTGATGTCATTGGCACTGTGTAATGTAATAAGTTGAGCCCAATGTACCTCACTTCTGTGCTGTGGGTTTATAGAGGCAAAGTAACTTGCCCAGAATCACTCACCTAGCACCTGGGTTTATCTAACTACCAAATCTGTACTTTTAACCTTAAGCTTTAAGTCTTAAAGAATAACAATAAGGTCGCACATCCTTTGCATACATGTCAACATTCACCTGTAGTTCTCCACCTTAGGTAAGCAACAGAATCTCCTAGAAAGCTTTGTCAGAATACCATAAGTGGTGTTTTTTGGGTTTTGGTTTTTTTTTTACCACAATCTAACCCCAAGATCCTGTTTCAGTAGGTTGAATGGGGCCGGACCCCAGAGATGATACCCACCGCAACAGTCTGTCTGGACCTGGTGGGAGAGCTGCATGGGTACACGTTTAGTCTTTACTTTCACATGGATCTTTTTCTTCTTTGGCCCTGCCTCTTTTCTGAACCAGTTTCCCTCCTACATGCAAACTATGGTGAAGCCTAACCAGCACACTTCCAGTTTGGAAGTGTACCATCAGTATAAAACTTCTTTCACAGGTTCGCTGGTGGTACGAAGCACTGGAGACAAACTGATCACTCGATCGGAGAATGCCCATGGTCAAAGACAGAAAAGGTGAGTTTTCAGTCTGCTGGTTTTGGTAATAAAGGTTTGCAATGGGGACTCTGATCTAGGAGGTTAGGGAAGCCAGCTCTGAAGGAGTTAAGGGGGGAAAGGAGAGGACGGGAAGAGAGCACTTCAGGAGATGAAACCTTGTGGGCTGAAGATAAGGAATAAAGCCACAAGGTGGGGAAAGAATGGAAGGGTCATGCTGAGGAATTTGTTTTTATCCCAAGGGTGGAGGAGGAAACCACAGAAAGGATTGGAGCAGGGGACTTCACTTTTCAGGCTTCCATCTTAAACAATATCACTCTGGCTGCTATTGGAGGACTGGATCAGAGTGGGAGACTAAAGACTTGAAGTTTTTCAGGTGAGATTTGGTGGAGATGATGGAGAAAATTGGAATAAAATGGGGTTCATTCTTTTTAAAAAAACTTTATAAAAATATTTTTTTAGGTTGCTGTGAAATATACATAACAAAATTTTCCATTTTTAAGTGTACAGCTCAGTGGCACAGTGAAGTACATTCACTTCATTTTACAGCCATCCCCGCCATCCATTTTCAGAACCTTTTATCTTGCAAAAGTGAAACTCTGTACCCATTAAACTATTAACTCCGCATCCGCAGCCCCTGGAAACTACCATTCTACTTTCTGTCTGAATTTGACTAAGTACCTCACACAGTATTTGTCCTTTTCTGATTGGTTTATTCATTTAGCATACCCTATTCAATGTTCATCCATGTTGTAGGATGTGTCAGAATGTCCTTCCTTCTTAAGACTGAATAATAACTTTGTTAAATGTTTATTAAACGTTTGTTGTATGTATATACCACATTTTGTTTATCCGTTCACCTCCTGAGGGATACTTGGGCTGCTTCTCCACCTTTTTGCTATTGTGAATAATGCATCTGTGTACATTGGTGTGCAAATATCCGTTCATGTCTCTGCTTTCAGTTCTTTTGGTTTATCTCCAGAGTGGGATTGCAGGATCACATGGTAATTCTATTTTTAATGTTATGAGGAACTGCCATACTGCTTTCTATAGCTGCTGCATCATTTAAATTCCCATCAACAGTGCACAAGAGTTCCAATTTCACCAAATCTTTGCCAACACTTGTTTTCTGGCTTTTTGTTTGTTTGTTTTTGTTTTTGTTTTTTTTTAAAAGAAGTGCTGTGAAGTGGTATCTCATTGTGGTTTTGATTTGCATTTCCCCACTGATCAGTGATGTTGAGCATGTTTTCATATGCTTGTTGCCCGTTTGTATATCTTTGGAGAAATGTCTGTTCCAGACTTTTGCCCATTTTTGAGTGTGGTCATTTGTGTTTTTTTGTTGAGTTTTAGGAGTTCTGTTATATTCTGGATATTAATACCCTTATCATATGTGTAATTTGCAAATATTTTCTCCCATTCTGTGCGTTGCCTTTTTACTCTGTTGATAATGTCTTTTGATACACAAGAGTTTTTAAGTTTGACGAAGTCCAATTTGTGTAATTTTTTTGTTGTTACCCTTGCCTTCCATGTCATATCTGAGGAATCATTGCCAAATCCACTGTCATCAAGCTTTTCCTGTTTTTTTTTTCTCAGAGTTTTGTAATTTTAGCTGTTATGTTTAGGTCTTCGATCCATTTTGAGTTATTTTATTTATTTTTTTTTTAAAGAAAGGTCTGTTTGGGCG